CTTGCGTTTCGCCCATAAAATACCCAGTCAATCCACTTGACAGTATATCCTGTGAAGCGGTTTGAGATGTTTCGACGACGGCATAAGACGCTGTATCAAATGAAAGGAATGTTATTATTATTTTGCTCAACTGTTTGACGACCAGCAATCTTCGTGCCTGTGTGTACTACACGTTTGAAGTAAGGCTTAGATAAATAGATACACACACACACACACACACATACATACATACATACATACATACATAAAGTTAAATAAATAATCCTTGCATTTGATTCAGCACCTTTCACTTTGGGGAGGATCACAGGATTTACTGCCAAGTGTAGTGACTGTGATTTTGCAGCCGAATGCGACAGGCACTTTAACACACAGGAGCGTCCCACAAACAGTGATGAAGCAAATGATTGTGTTTATCGGGGGATTGTTAGCCAGGACACAGGAGAAACAACATTCTCTTTCGAGTAGCGCCGTGGCAGATACTGAAGCAGCAAACGGGATCTCGACTTAACGTCTCATTCAAAGGATAGTACCTCCGACAGTGTAGTGCTTCCCCCAGCACTGTGCTGGACTGTCGGCCTCGACTGTGAGTACAAAGTATAGAAGAGAGGTTTAATCCTACAGCCTTTTGACTCAGAAATGGGAGTGTCACAAACTGAGCCAACCTGAAACTTGAGATTGTTAAGGGCATCAGTAGCAAAGGCACAACCAGTACCTGAGAAGAACAAGTTGGTACAAAGCAGCCTGGCACTCGCTACCATCTGACTATTATATCTGTGACTAGTAATATGAACCGCTTTAAGATCACAGCTTTCTGGATGAAATTTAACAGAATTTACATTAATTTGAAATTGAACTGCAGCCCGGCCTATTGCCGGGAATCCGTATTTATGTTTCACTATGAATAAAATATGAGTCACTCTCCATATTAAACACGCAAACAGAACAGTCTGTATATTTAAACTCTGCCCACTGTTCAGAACGCGATGGCCGCTCATCGCAGAGGTCTCTGTTTGGTCTGGCGCGGGTTTGGTTTGTTTGTTATTCTTGTTATTAAACTCCCAAAAGTGAGTGCATCCACTTGGAATCCCGTAGCATAGTGATCAGTGCACTTGCCTTGCAAGCGAGAGAACCTAGGTTTAATTCTGGGATGGGGCAAAATCTTAGGCAAGTTTCCTAATTCACACGTCTCTGTTTAAGTAGCAGTAAGTAGGAACCTGATTGCTAATCAATTGGCGGATTGCTCTTCGGGGGTAATAATCCCTTCAAAAAAAATGGGGTCACTCAGTCGTGGATTGTTTGTGGGACATTTTTGAGACGTGATAATTGTCGGTTACGAATCACCACAAATTTCATCTCACATGTTTATCAAATTGGTAAGGTTTCACCTCTTTAAGCAACCTCCAGATCAAAGACGATTCCTCAGCCAAAAGGGTGTGTAAGTGACTGATGCCAGGGCTCTGCCAAATCCTGGATGTTCTCAGGAGCCAGGGTTTGAGTCACTCTTAGAGATCCTACTCTCTCCCTTAAGGAGATATCTTCAGTTGGCATCTTCCTTCAATGGCCTAGTCTGGGAGTCTTTATTCAACCACACACCGCATTGGTCCATCAGCGTTCTGCACCAGTCAGCCAGCAAGCCACCGAGCCAGCCAGACACCACATACAATAAACAATACTGGCTTCTTGATCCCTCTCAATAATTGGCAGCAATGAAAAAGGAAACATGGACTATTTTTTCGGTTCCTCAAAGTTGGCCTGAATTAGACTGACCCTTTGCTCCTGACCCGTTCCCTGATCACAAGTCGCTTTCGATTTTATTTCAGACTCTCATAACTAATAATTACTAGAATATGCCGGGAATCGAACCTAGGTCCTCTCGCTTGCAAGGCGAGTGCTCTAACCACTGAGCTACAGGACTCCACTATTCCACTTGCCTAATTAGCGGCGGGAAATAATATTTCACAAAGAGAGTAAAGTTCCCTCTCTTCCCTTTCCCTACGCTAATTCGGTAAGTTCCGTGCACAACCCAAAATAAATGCCTGCTCATCAATGACATACTGCTGCTTTCTTTAAATGATGTCCTCATGAGCGATCCTCACTCTGGTCTTCAAATCCCTCCACTCCTCTGCACCTCCCACCCCCCCCCCCGACCTCTCTGACCTCCTCTCTCCTCACAACTGCGCCCGTTGCCTTCGCTCCACAAGGTCTGGCCTCCTCCTTGTCCCGGGAGTCCTCCACTCCATCATCGGCGGCAATGCCTTCAGCCATTACGCCCCAAGGCTGTGGAACTTCCTTCCTCACTCCCTTTGCCTCGTCCCCTCTCTTGTTTTCAGGTCTCGGCTGAAGATCTTTCTTTTCGACCACAATTTTGGTCGCCATCCTTCCCCCCTCCCCCCGGCTCGGCCCCGGGATCCGTTACTGTGAAGCGCTCTGAGACGCCGCCCGGCATGGAGGGCGCTATATAAATCCAAGTTGTTGTTGTTTCACTAATTTAAAGCGGTGTCAGCCTGGCTCAGTCGATAGCACTCTCACCTCTGAGTCTGAAAGTATCAAGCCCTAAACTGAGGACTCTGGTCCAGTGCTGGGGAAACCCTGCTTTGTCGGAGATGTTTCGGATAAGATGTTTAACCAAGCTCCCGTCTGTCTATATAGGGTGAACTTTAAACATCCCATGGCGCTGTTGGAAAAGAGAAGCATGTTTTTCCTGGCCAACAATCCCCCAGATAAAAATCGGTCATTCACTCCATGGGATATTTAATGTTCATGGGATGGGCCTTTGTGCAAATCGGCTGCTGCATTCGCTTATAAAATACAATTAATCCTGTGAAGCACTTTGAGACGTCTTCCTGCTGTGAAAGGCGCTGTATCAAATGGAGTAGGTTGGGGGTGGAAATGATAAAACAACAAACAACACTGTGCTCTGAGTGATAACTAAGAGATGAGTTTTGATTGATTGAACTCTTTGCGCTGGTGACTTTGACGAGAAACTGTGAATAAACACACTGGAATTTTGTCATCTATCGGTGGCCAGCAATCAGTCATCACCGTTATACATCGGAATCGAGCCAAAAAGGAAAATAAAAATTGTCCCTCATCAGAATCCCTGCATTTCTCCACTTCAGCTAAAACAATACTGATTTAATCGGGGTGTAAATTATCTCTATGTAACTGGATGGAGCATGAAACATAATCGTAGTCTTCCTTGCGCTCCATGGAGCAACTTTGCTGCCGTGGTCTGCTCAGCTCCATTCAAAGGCTTCGCACACATGTCCCTGTGCATACATGACGGAGAAGAGAATAGGATGACAACAACTTGGATTTAGGGATTTAGGGATTCATGCAGGGTGGTGTGTCAGAGTGCAAGTTGTTGTTGTTGGATTGTCAAAACATCTTAAAGCGCTGCACGGGTAACTGCTAACCTGGCACTGATATAAAAGTAAATCCTGGTGAATAAACAATAAGTTGAAACATGTTAAAGTTGCGGCAACGAAACGGAGAAACTGCTAAAATCTGAAGTGTTCTCACCAAAGACCTTCTCTCATAATAGACAGGACTTATCCCAAGTCTGCTTTCCTCTGGGACAAGGGAGAAAGCAGAGGACTAAGGATGAGGACTGTGCAGAACCTGTCCCACATCACCTTCAAAAGTTGCTTCCCTCCAAATGGCCTTTCACGTTTAGCACAAAGTGCAATAACAGAGACCACAAAGTGCGTCTATGGCTCCACGTCGTCTTCTCGGCTCATGCAAACTACTCTTGTATCAACCAGGTGGTTTGGATCATGTCCACATTGCCAGCGGCTGCCGAGTGCTGAGTCGGCAAGATTCCAGCTTGTCACTGTGTGTGACTCAGCACCAGCCCACGCTTGTTCAGCCTCGGTCGACCAGTGCTGGGGCTTGTCAGGGGAAATTGACATGGTTTGCTGGATCTACCAGTGTGGAGGGATTTGGGTCGTTGCCTACAACAGCAACCACACTTCCCAAGAGAGGTGTGTACGCTGGAAGCTCAGATAGGCACAAGCAAGGGCAGTGATTTAGTTACGCAACCACACCCTTATCAAATAAAAATAATTCCTTGCACTTGTTAATAGTACCTTTCACGCCGGGAGAATTTCTCAAAGCACTCCACAGGATTTTACTGTAAAGTGCAGTAAATGTGTATGTTGTAGGCAAACCGTGGCAGCCAATTCACCGCAGCAAATGTCCCACAACCAGCCGTGAAATGAAGGACTGATTTGATCTGAAGGGATTGGGAGGAGTTGTTGGCCAGGCCATCAGCAGAAACTCCCATCATAGTCAAAGGCAGGTCAATTGAACCTTGTTTTATTAAGGGGATTAAGTCATTGTGCTTTCTTGTTACCTAACAAAGTAGGGATCCAGGTAAGGTAAGTGTTTGCTCTGAGTTACACTGAAACAAACCTTATAACAGTTTGAATACTTACCGCCCACCCCCACCCCACCCAGTAAGTGAAGGGATAAATACCATCAAATAAAAACTATTTCCAGTACGGAAGGTAAGAAGGGAAATTTCTGATCAGAGTTGAAACGTGCATTTAATAATAAATAATAAGCCCTGCATTTGCTAGAGCGCCTTTCAAAGCGTGTGGCAGGATATGTTGCAAAGCGTAGTGACTGTGCAGTTTGAGGGTAAACGGCTAGATTTTGCGATCTTGTGCTGAGAAAGTGTTGCCAAATATACTTATCCCGGGTTGTGCTGAGCTAAGGGGACTTTTGTGTTGTCCGCATGACTCTCAACTGCTAAATAACCAGATGGAATTTCTAAGAATTCTTGTTTGCTCTTTGAAAGCAGAGCTGGGGGTGGGGTCGTGATGCTGTGCGAGCCCAGGAATAGAGTGTTTTAACGTTGAGCTCTGATAATATAAAATCTCATCAACCTCCTACATTGTAAAAGTGTCTCAAACTTACTGGCGGCCTATCCCTTATCCTCCTCTGCCCACTCCATATCCCTGTGTTTTGTTTCACCGCCGGTAAATCACAATCATTTCTAAGAAACATGCTTACGTTTATTATTCATCCTTTGCAATGCAGTACATTCAGTATCAATAATGGGAGAATTATGCCATGAAGTAAGCATTTTACGAGGACGATTTGAAGATGGCCCCATTCTTCAACAACAACAACTTGCATTTTACACAGCACCCCTCACGCAGGTTAGCGTCCCCAGAGCGCTTAAAGGTGTTCTTTTTAAGAACATAAATTAACACTGTGTCTTTAAGAAGGGGGTGCCCTTAACGAAGGATCTACATTTGGCACGGAAAGCCAGATATAAGGAGTCTGAAGACATAATTCATCCCCCTCGCAAGAAGGCAATGCAAAACTGAATCGTTGTACTTGTTAACCCTGCAAGCCAAAGCCCTAACGGGGGTTGTAGTTGGCCAAGCAGCGGGAAGCTTGTCAGAAACAGGGCTCTCAGTAACAAGCGGTGCATTTTTAGCCAGTTAGGCTCCAGCAGGTACTCTCAACGCACACCTCTGAGGTCTCCCAAGTCTAGGGCTCTCGCCAACCTGCACCCCAATGCTCTCCGGATTCAGGTAGGCAGGGTGCATGCCTCTGGGGAGAGAGGCACAGTTCCAGACCCAGGGGAAATTTCCATGTGTCGGTGGCTTACACATGTGGAACTTCAGTCTGGTTTGGATCTTTGGGAAAATATTTTACTTGACTTTAGAAGGCGAGTCATACTTTACAGAGTGAACCTTTCGATGCGGATTCTCCCACAGGGAATCTGCGGACATTGAACCAATTCAGAAATCTGAGCTGTTCAAATCTCAGCAACGTTTCCTTTTTGAACGTGAACTTTCTTTCACTTGCTTTGCGCTTTGGTTAGAAAGCCAACTTTATTTTTTTTGCAAATCGTGCGTGATATCCAATTCAGATTCTTACAGGTTTCGGGCTGGGATTTAGTTCACAGGTGGCACGCTTGAGGATCGTAAAAACTTAAAAAGAAAAAATAATCCAGCTTCAAACAAAGACTGAGGAACGCACACTTTGCGTGAACGTTAAGATGTGTAGCAAAAGTCAAGACAACATCATTAGTTCAAACAGTGTTAAAATACTTTGCACACAGTGTTGGGAAATTCCACTCAACAACTACAGTAGACTGCAGTGGCTCAACATTCCAGTTTGGGACGGAATGAGACAGCTTGCAAATATCAGCAATGTGTTTATTCCCCCTCTCCCCTTCTTTCACGTCCTTCAGTCGGGTAAAAACTACATTATTTCCATGCTACCTGCTCTTGCTATTGCTGCCGATCTTGAAATAGCCTGTTTCAGTTTTCCCTAAAACCACACACTGGTCTCTTGTTTGTATCAAATGGTGCATTGGATTCCTTCCCTCTCTCTCCCCCCTCCTCCCTTCCTTTTCCTTTAATTGAAATTTAACAAGGTTCATGATGAACGGAAAGTTCACTTAAGTAAATTCGACATCAAATTGTAGTCAGCAACTTTTGGAAAACGTATTTTTTTTCCAGCGTTGATTCTCTAGAAAACTTTCCTTTGAATTCTCCCTACGGCATCTGAGAGCAAACAGAAGGGTAGGTGCCAAATGTAATGCTGAGCTCCACTTTACCTTGAGCGTTTAACTGTTTAACTGGACAGGTCTGTAGTGTGTGTCATTTCAGGCTCTATGAAAAGTTATTTTTAATAGTGCCGTTAGACGCGAGTACGAAATCGGGAATGAGTTACAAGTTGAAATACAATGAGGGAGGTTTGAATATCATACCCTAAACTATGGTAAGAAACCTCAAGGTTTTCACATGGGGGGTTAGTGCATACTACAGCATTTGTTAACTGTGGCCAAGTTTTCATTGAATGCTTATGATGCGAATTATAGCCGTGTACGCGCTGCCAATTACGATTTCTCTTTTTCCAAAGGGGATTTTAGAAAAATAAAAGAGATCAGAAGGCTCATTAAAGGACAATCTTTAAGCCTCATTTACTGAATATCCTTGCCCCACCCCCCCAAAAAAAAGTCTTTTTTCTCTTTTTTTCTTAGAAAGAGAACGAGGAAAGATGAGGTGAGAGACGACTTCACTCAGCTCCAGTGGTAAAGAGTGGGATTGTCGGATAATTGTAAATCAACATGTCGGATTTGTTAAGGAATACCACAAAGATCCATTCCACTCTCTTCGGTTGGCCTGGGACAGCATTTGAGAGTTATAACAGGAGACGAGTCTTACCTATGTGTGTAACGCCAAGCATCATTATTTCATTTAATATTTACAACTGCCCTCTTTTTGCCTCACTTCATACTAAAATGGTCACCGTTTCACCAGGACAACTTGGCTGTGCGGGTGACGAGCCCCTTGGCAAGAAAAACGAGTTATTGAGCGCAACATCCTGACGGTCATTAAACACTGCTTGCACCTTCAGGGCAACAGAAAGCAAGACTCTTGGAGCTTGCGGACATTATAAATTAATAATAAGATTTGTTCCGAGGTACTGTACCGGATAAAGTGTGCGTTTTGCAATTATCGAAGCCAGCCTCCCAAAATGCCTTCATTCTGGTGCAGAGGAAAACAAGCACCAATATGGACCAATGATCAAAAGGTAGCTAAGTTAAGGAGTTAAGAACAGCTTTTAGCTAAGGATAAGGCAGCCTTGGCTTCCAGAGATCTCTTCTGTGCACCCATTTGCTTTTTTTTTTTTATGAATCGTCCTCTTGAACTTGTTCCAGGAATGTACACACGCACAGTGCTCGGGCCAGGTTAAAGGGAAACAAGTCGAATAGGAATGGAGTGACACACACCCTAACACACACTCACAACAAATTTCACCAAAATACACATTGTACAGTGAGTAAATATTGAACTCTCTTTATGCTGAGCAACTTAACTTATAGACTTACCAGCACAGCTGTATGTAACTATACTCTGCATTTAAAACAAAAATATCAAAATATTATGTACAAAATGATGAGGAGGGTTGAGGGGTAATCTTCACACTAGAGGTTTTGCTCGATTTTCTTGACGTATGAGATGTAGGGTTCACGGTCTGAGAAACAAAACGTTGACTGTCCTCTTGGAGTGAAGGTGGTGAAGGCTGTTATCGGACATGCACAGTTAGTTATGTTCATGTTTCTCATCCTAGTGCTTCCTACCCTCGGAAGCCAGTCTGGGAAACCCACTGGAGTTCTGTCAGAATCATTCCCTCACTCAGGCCACAGCAAACACTCTGAAGGCTTTCCCGTCTGGAGGGTTCTTCATACTAGAGGAAAGAATGATAGACATTGTCAGTGTCTCTCTAATGTAACGTGGTCACTCGAAACAAGTGTTAAACCCCCCCTGACAACAATTTGCTTGATCGACCGTACAGACCCCCGCTGAGGCTTTCCTCTCTGACAGTGCCTTCAGTCACACTTGGTGTAAGCATGCAGTCTTAGTAGTAGCAAACCTCCTACTCTTTATCCTCATGAAACACTTAAAACAGATTGAGTTTCAAACATTAAAATCTCCCCCAATTACCATTCCTGGTGTCCTCCCCCATATCGAATGAAGTCATCACTCTGCCAGATTTCACTGAGGGGCAGCAACACATTTTTGGAAGCAGTATCTATTCGCAGAACAATACGTTACTGTTCCGTGGTGTCCCGTCTTTGTTTGGGTCGAATTGCTGAGTGTGTGATTAAACGAGATGTGGTACAAAACATTTGCTCATTGCCTGTTTTATCTGGCGTTCATAAACATTCTGATCCAAACCAAAGAAATTCCTTGGCATATTAGCAATCAGGATTCAGCTGTACTGGAAGATCTTTGCAAGTTCTGAAGTGCGCATGACTGTCCTTCCAAAGCCGATCTTTGACAACTTCATTTAAAAGCAGTTTGGTGGGGATAGATAGGAAGGTGGGTAATCTGGAGGGATCTGGAGATTGGACAGGGTTTTCCTCATTCCAGGCCAATTTCGTGAAATCGTCACAAAGGAAAAAATCTCAAACGACTTCTGAAATGGTTCAAGATTATTTTTCGCCATTGGGGAAAAAAAAACTTCCTAATACTCGAACGCTGTCTTTTATTTTAACCTCCTGCCTTTGTAATGAAGAGTGGAACCCAGTCTCTGCAATCGACCAAATCAGACATTTACCTCTCTGACTGGATCCCGTTTTTGAAAACTGACGGATATTTGTTCTTTTTCTCGACGGACATGACATCTACGAGGCCCCCGATGTGGTTCTTAATGATGCCGGCGTGCACTGCCGATCGGCATATACTGGATCTCTGGAAGCCAATAAAAGAGAGGAAGAAAGATATTAATCCCTCGATGCTGTGTGTGTAAACTCATCCCTTGGCAGTTACTCGTACATAGAAATCCCTTCTATATATGGCAAGGCTAACACCAGCCTTTATATTTAGAATATATTCCTTTGACTCACAAAGAGATTCGCACAGTGTCTTACTTGTAGCTAAGACGTCTCAAAGAGCTTCATGGAATATCTTGTAAAGTAAAGCGGATTGACTGTGTGTTTTACAGGTGAAACCTGGCAGCCAGTGACCCGCCAACAATCATGGATTTTTTTCTGGTTGTTTGTTTTGGAAGGATTATTATCGGAAAGCCATCCGCCAATCAACTAACAACGGGGTGGTCTAGAAGAGTCCTTTTATGGGTTAAAGAAGGATACTGGAACCAGACCAAGAGGGCAAAGTAGTTAAGTACTTTTGCTGAATCTACAAAGTTCTCATTCCATTCTAATGGGATCACACTCCTTCCTCGTGTGGTTTGCCATTAGAAGAGCAGAACACAAGGTTCTCTGGCTTCTACTAACGGGGCGTGTGATGGTGGCAGTGGCTATTGGGTCGTTAATGGACCATGGAATGTCAGAGAGCTGTAAAGTGGGAAAGTGGAAGTGAGTCAAGTGCAGGTGTGGCAGCAGGAGGAAAGTCAGAAATTCCAGTAAAAACGTTTAATAAGAGAGGTCGCTGTGACGGTGGGGAGGGGGGAGAGGAAGCGGTGGGACATGGAACACAAGAAACAAAAAGTGGAGATGCCAGGACGACATCTTTAAAAAAGATACAGGAATGTTGAGCGGATAAATCCTGGAGAAAGAGAGAAAGAGAGAGAGCTGTTTCTCAAGTGAGTCCCAGCATTCTGGCTTCAACCACCTTCCCTGGTAATCTGGTCCACTTGTTAATTACTCTCTAGGTAAATAAATACTTCCTTGGGCAGTCACGCCCTGCAACCCTGAACCTTTGTCTTCTTGTTCGGCTGTCCCAGTGTATTTCAGTGAAAGTCTTTCTCAATCCTAATTAAAACCTTCTTATAAATATCTGGAAGGTGTCTCTCTTTTTTTCCTCCCCCCCCCCACAAGAATAAAGCTTGTCTAATCTGTAAACATTTAACGTACTATAACCAGACTGTCAGCTCAATTTATTTGCTCATTATGATTGCATTAAAATAGTTTCTGCACATCTGGGAACTTTCCACCTACAGTGAACACCAGGCATTGGCTGCAGATGAGAAACCTGGTTACTATTAATACCCATTGATCCATTTATACTGCTTTTATTGCCATATGCTTTTTTGAGTCACAGTGCGTTAGTCACAACTGGTGTTTCACCCACAAAATACACAGTCAATTCACTTTACAGTATATTCTGTGAAACGCTGTTGAGACGTCTCAACGATGTGTTAAGGCGCTATATCAAATGCAAGGATTATTATTATTAAAACAAACTCTTGAAGCCGTATCGTGCAACTATTTAACAGAGACTTGCCTTAAGACAACATAATATTTGAAGCCAAAACCTGACCTTTAGGACAATATGGAATCCTCACGAGATCACTAAGAAAGCTTTTTCTTTGTCTTCCTGCATGTGTAGTGACTGAGGACAGTGCACAGACTTTATTGCTGCCCAGCTCTGCTCTTGGGAACAGACACTCTTTGTCTGATCAGCCCAGCAGTGGCAAGGAAAGCAGATTCATTACAAGACAAGTGTAGCATCTAATATTTTCTCCCTCCTAACACACACTCACACTTTGCACACGCTCACGCACGGGCGCACGCGCACAAACACGAGCCAAGACACATTTAACCACAACAAAACCCCCACCATAGTTTTGTCTAGAAAACACAGTCACAACATTTTGCAGTAAATGCTGAGGTGGGGAAGGAGGAAAAAGTTGTACTCAAGTCACTGGCGTTTTTCCACCCTTCAGCCTCGATTTACTGCCCCCGGGCAGAGGAAAGCACTCTGGAGATGCGCAGGAATGTGTTTACTCTAGCCATAGAGTCTCCGTGCGCAGCGTTTACAGAACCTGGCTTGTTCCCGAGTCACAAGGATTTATAACGCTCCTAACCCTTTCTTTGGGAACTAACTGTATGGCCTTCACATGACAAAATGGAATCCATTTGACTTAAGTTCTAGGCTTACGTGTTCTAAATAAAAGGATTTAAAAAAAAAGGGGGAACATTTTTGATTTTAATCATACGTGGAACTCATCCATTAATCCAAGACTATTAAGAAAATGATCTGTTTATAATGTTACTTTTAGGTGCTTTTTTCTCCTCTTGTCTTCAAGGTTCTGGAGAGCAAGTCACACACAGGTAGTTGTGTTGTATGTGTATATTCGCGGCTGAATTGGCAAATGTGGATAACAAGCCCACTGCCCTCGTAAGAGGGAGTTACATTTTAATTTTAATTAAAAAATTGAATTTTAAGTGAATTGGCTGCTGCGTTTCGCCCACAAAATACCCAGTCACTCCACTTTACGGTATACCCTGTGAAGCGCTTTGAGACGTCTCAACGATGGGATAAGTCGCTGTATCAAATGCAAGGATTACTATTATTATTATTCTCTTTGAAGAGAGCGAGGGAAACCAGCCCGAGCATCTAGCACCCGACCCCGTAGACGATTTAGCAAAAGAAAAGGTCAGGGCGTTCTGACTTTGAGAGTTGTTGGTATCAAGCTTGTCCTAACTCAGCCAGATTACGGGATCTGCCAACAAGTAAAATCACATCGGGCAATTCGGAAACTCAGCCTTTTTTGGTGAGGAGCTTTTCCAGGAATCGGCAAAGCTTCAAAGCTGAATCGCACGAAGATTAACTCGTCCCGGGCAATGCTTCGTGTTCTCACTTGCTCACTTTTCTCTCACTCTCTCTCTCTATTTCAAATATGTGCCTCTGTCAGAATATGGGATGCTCACAAGAAACAGCATCAAAAACTTTTTCGGAGAACCTTATGCATATATATTCCTTCCCCCCACCCCCACCCCAATCATCCTCCCCCACCCCATTCCACCCCCCACCACCCCCCACCCATCCCCCACCCCGAGCTGGGCTCCCGGTCACCTCTGTAAAGCGCTTCGAGAGAAACTTGATGTGAAAGTGTGCTGTGTAAAAGCAAAATTGTTATCGATGCTACTTCATTCTGACTTTATGATTTTCTCTCTCTTTCTGTCTCTCTCACTCTCTCTCTCCCTTGCTACGCATTTCCCCCCCTCGCAGTTTCTAACTCTCGGCCTGTTCTCTGCAACATTAACCCAGTCCCACTTTAAGCTCGTGGTCACGCAGTCTAACATTATTCTGCGGTTCCCGCTTTTCAGTCAAACCACGAATGGCTGTGGTTCCCGCACATAGTTACTCATTCTTTTCATCTCCGCCAGATTCCCTAATGCAGTGCGTCACATCATTAGACCTAACCCTGTGAAGGGTATTCAATAACCCCGGTGGAATCGGGACACACTGGATTTATTTAGGAAATCAGTTCTGAGTTTCTTCGGTTCAAGAGCAGGGCTCGCCCCAGCACAGCGTTCCGCAAGTGGCTTCGCTACGACAACCCTTTTTTTTTTACTGTACAAACTCCCTTTGGCGCTAATTGATCCTGACCCGCTGAACCCTGTGGCTGACAACACCAGAATGTGTGCAGCCCAAAGCTGATTCCGCCTCCAACCAGCAAACCGTACCCGAACACTGGATTTACGTGCGAGCAACACACAGTGGGGAACTCGGGTTTAAAACGGCAGTGGGTGCGGGGCTGGTGTTGACCTGAAACAGTTTGAGTTAAACCGTGGATTCCCTCCCTCTCCCTCCTGTCTCGGGGTCAGGCTCCGGCAATGTTAAGCGCTCCGGGATGCTGCACGGTGTGAAGGGCGCTATATAAATGCGAGTTGTTGTTGTTGTTGCCTAAACGCTGCAAGATTTACTTTAACCCAGCGCGGCTGGACAAGAGACTGCGAAGGGGGCCATTAACTGGCTACATCCACATTGGCAACTGGTGAATCACCTTTTCTGGTCAGACGGTTAAATGAAATTAGTAACGATTTTGAAGTTGGGTTTGTGCGAACTCATTAGGCTCAATGATTAATCCAACCACATCAGGCTCACTGTCTAAAGGAATGCTCATAATATTCTGGAAACCCCACAGTGGAACAGTCACCCCACTGTGGGAGATCTCGTCTGCTAATTATTCTGCGTTTGTCCAAACGAGCTTTGTTCTGCCTTCAAACCTCCCCACAGACCAGGGATGTGATTGCTGAGCCAAAATTACTATAATTGAAAACCGAAGGATACTCAACACAATAAAACACTAGACAATTTCCCTATTGTTTCGGGGGTCGACCTTGCTTGCTCAAACCTTTCTCTGAATGCCCTCGTTCACTCACCGCCCCCTAATTTGGCCCAATCGTCACTCTCTCAGATCCTTTCTGGTGTTTCGCCCACAAAATATGCAGTCAATTCACTTTACAGTATAATCTGTGAAGCGCTTTGAAACGTCTCGAAGACGTGATAAGGCGCTATATACCAAATGCAAGGATTTTTATTATTTTATTATAAATTTCTGTCGAATCTTTTTGGTTACAAATGAAGGATGTTTTGCCAGCGGTAATCTTTAGCTCCCCCCCACCTCCCCCAAAAATCAAACGCTTCAGAAATTTGGATATTTCTTTGTTTGGGGAGAATGTCTGAGGTTCGAATTGAGGCATATTGTAGAGACAGAGCAGAGGGAGATTAACCCACTTGTCTAAACCCAGGCTGTCTCTGATTTGTTATTACTGGGTGATGACAACACATGGAGTTGGGCTGCATTGCTCAATTCCACCACTACAAATAGGCATCAACTGTGAACGTGAACTAAAAGAAGGTTTAACGCTGTGAGTCCTGAGCGTTTAAAGCCCTCCGCGATGCTACCCCACGTGAAGGGCGCTATTTAAATGCAAGTTGTCATTATTATCCTGAAAACATGCAGTTTGCAGGGCAGCTCGAACCGTGTGAATAAACCATTACTGATTTACGCCCAAAGGCTGACGGACTCGGGGTTAGATGTACGACAACCGCAACAGAAGATTCCTCCTCTGCTTCTCATTTTCCCTTCGATCCCTTTTTTTTGAGAAGACGGTTGTGAGATTAATTGTGGCGGGTAACGAGAAGCAGAACACCCCCCCCGATGGATCTTGTGCAGACAAACAATGTCCTTGTCTTCGGGCATGTTGTAACAGATTAATGTCAAACACTGGGTAGCAGCGCAAGATGGACTATTTGCCCGTACAACTCAAACAGGGAGTTGGTGGGGGGTGGGGTCGGGTGGCAGGCAGTGGCATCCACATATGAGACACTTTCAGCAATACCTGCTCCCAGCATTTGGCGCTTTAGTTTGAGCTAAAGGATTGACTCAGTAGCAGCCCTAAGATACACAGCATGCTCCACATCACACTCACCCCTGAGCTTCTCAACTCTGCTGCCTAAATAAATGCCAGTTACATGTTTAATTACTAGCAGCCTGACCGCCTGAGAACTTTACAGGCGTCTGGTTTTACAAAGTTGACTTTGCACCAGCTGCGGTCAGTCAGTCTGCCTGCCCTGAGCCCAGTCCAGTGTTGGTGGGTGGGGTGGGGACTGTGAGACTGAATCCTGGAGGTCAAAACCAGCTCTGGGCTCATGAAACTGTGCTCGCCCCAGTCCTGGCCAACAATACTGCAGATTAAAAGAAAAATAAATAACTTGGCGGCTGTTTGCGGGACATTCCTGCGTGCAAATGGAACGCTGCCTTTGCCTACACAATGCACAGTTTCTACGCTTTGTGGTAGATCTGTTGTGATAAGGTGCAATATCAACTGCAAAAAAAAAATATTATTATTATTATACAGTGGAGTCAGTGCAGAGTCACGTGAAATGGACACAAGTGAGTCTGACTGTCCCTGTTGCTCTAACAGCAAACACGAAGGCGAAAGCAGAAGCAACGAACTTACGTCAGAGTAAATGTTGTTTCCGATGACCCGAGCCCAAAAGGGAAATTCTTCCATACAGTTTGGGGGGCAGTTAATCCTGCGAACGAAACAAATCTCCCCGTGAGTTACGCACGACAGAACACATCAATGGCTATTAATTGTCTAGAATTATTTATAAACCTGCCTGCCCCCTCCAAGTCCTGCCTGCCGATGAGGGCCATCATTAGCTGGGCTCTGGAGTACAGCGGGCACAGGAACTGGCTCTAACGAGACTTGTCACAGAGGCCTGACTCGATTCCGACATACCATTGCCAATTGTGTCACCTTGGTACCAGTGTTGGCTGTCAGCTCTTGGCTCATGCAACGCTGGTTAAATACAACGCTCATTGTACATGCACAATGCATGTCCCCTATGTTACTTTCATTCTCCCAGCATCGGACCAGCACTGTTGGATCACCCCTTACGCTACCCTAATGGCCCGCTCTGAAATGCTTATTAAACACAGCTGTCGAAGAGGAAATGAAACGCATCTGTCGGAACTGAATACAAATCAAAGCCTCGAGAGGTTAAGAGGTATAATTTTAGCAAACGTGGTTTACTAAAATAATACCTATTCGCCATTCAAACCTGCGGGCACTGTTCATTACTTTGAAAGGGTCTTGGTAATAACTTGGTAAGTTGTGTGTGTGTTTGTGTGTGTGGAGGGGGTGGGGGAGCGAAGGTGGAAATGAATGACTAGTAAAAGGATCTCACCTGGGACAGTGAGAAGCCGGCTTTCTGAATGGACACAGTTGAGCAACTGTAGCGTAGCAATCCACTGTCCGTGCTGGTAAAAAAAAAATTACATAACATGTTCAATTGAACCGAGTAAGGATGAGTTAAGTTCCGTTAAGGAACCGTAACTAAAAATGTGCTAGGACTTAAAGGAAAACTAAACTTACTGGTCACTCTGGAAAGACCGAATCCATTGGCCGGCCTGAATTTGCTGTGAAGTAAAAATAAACAAAATCGCTTTCAGGTCAAAGTGAGACAGCTTCATTTTTACACAAGTAATTATGAGCTGATATGCCACAATTGCTGATGTTATTACATCACTTGTATTTGTATGGCCAATCTGTAAAGCAACTGTTTGCTGTGAAATGTGCTGAAACTTGGTACGTGGGTTCTTTCAAAATTCACTAATGCGATTCATTTTTGCTGGAGGAGTGAGGTCAGCTCTGGTAGTTTTATCTTTCTTGTCTAACGGTACGTGAATGTCACAGTGACGGATGAATACGCAGCAGCGAATGTCTCAATCTCTGTCCCGTGACCTCTCAGAGTGAGTTCAGCATCGTTGTTAAACCACATGAAGGGCACTTTTGTACTGAGAGTTAGAATAGTGATGGTGAGGCACATACAAGCTCCCTTCTGTCTCAACAGCATTCATAATTCACAGCCAACAAGGGAACGGCAGGGGTAAGGACGTGTGGGGAGTATAATCGTGGAATAGTTGTTTCCATGCTGGAACGATTTGTGTAAATCTATGCAAGAAGCCCAATCCCTATATTAGTTTTGCTACAATTTTAAGAATTTCTTGCTTTACATTATATTAAAAATAGCGGGAAACTAAAGAGAGAAGCCAAGTGGGAGTTACGCCTCGCCGGATCACAGCCAAAGACAGCAAGCCCTTGCTCATCTTCACACAAAGAACGTTCTCACCTTATGGACTGGATGCCGTATTTTGCCGACTTCACAAAGAATGGGATTTTTCCTTTCCGAGTGATATCCACCAGCCCGCCTTCCTCGTTCCTGATTATTCCGTAGTGAATGGCAGCTCGGCAGATGCTCGATTGCTAGAACGTCACGAAGACAAAATTGTTGTAACGCAGTTTGCTGCTCTACACACGGCTCCATCGCGAGCGGCGTTTTTAAAGTCAAGTGTATGGGGGTGAAATAGATCAGGTTCCTTACCACTTCGTAATAAAGAGTTCCAATCACTTTAGCCTTCGAGCTCTTGCAATACACTGGACATAGGTACCTGCTCAGCGATAAAAAATGTAAGATGTCAGCAAGCCTTTGTACACATATACTGTACATCCGACATGCCCCCTATCAACAGGCACCTTTTAATTCTAAATTGCGAGGAATAGATGGTTCACTTAATTGTTATCTTATCTTGAACTATGTGTGCAGTAAATGGCTCCCACTTGGTGTTTTTATTACCTTCCCGTTGCTTGTTCCAATTCACATTTCCTATGTTTTACACCGATGTGCACAAGGGAATTTGGGAATACTGTGAGTAACTAGCAAACGAAGCCGCACAAAATCCCCTCTATCCCGTTAACATTTAAAAAGGGTTGCTAATAAATTGAAGGAAGATATAAATGGGTATTTCAGGAAAAAGGCAGGGGAGTGGGACTCTTTCGGGAGCTGGTGCAGACATGATGCCTCTTAGAACTACGAAACACAGAAGAGTTTACGCCCACAAAATACATAAATCAATCCAATTTACAATATATTCTGTGAAGCGCTTTGAGACGTCTCAATGACGTGATGAGGCGCTGTATGTAATGCAAGGCTTTTAATTATTATAAGGGGAAATTTGTTGATGATACCTGTTGCATGTTGTCCCCTTGCACTTGTCTCTCATTTTAGTGTCACACTTGATGACTTGAGCTGCAAAGGAAGAAGAGAATCGGTTCGATGCAGCAGTTACAGTGCTCAGTCCTACAATATTGTGATTTTAGGGCTGGGAGCAATGCATTGCAGACGTATTTATACTTTGATGTATTTTATACTTTGATGATTTATACTTCCTGCTCTACAATGTACCGGAGCCATTAAAAATCTCACACCTCATTCTAGATGTAGAGAGACGCCATTTCTGATACGCGTGTGTTACATTCCAGTGGACTGGATGTACAGCTTACTTCACCAGAACTTATTTTACTACAGTAATTATAACTTTACATGTGTCAGGTTTAATCCTGGCCATTACATATTTGTCTTCTTTCAGTTGAACTGGAGGCAAGCCAGATCGCTGCGTTTCAGTGGCCTAGAGAGATGAAATCATTGCACCTTAACACAAGATGCTCTGAAACTTGAGAGGTGGACGAGTTGAATCAATGAGCTATAAGGCTGAATATCAATCGCCAGTACATCAATCAAGGAGAATTCCAGATGCTTCCTTACTCATGTATTTCTTGCTGTTGAGCATCTCCTTTGAACTCGGCTGCATTATCCTTGGCATTATTGTGTCGGGGTTGATCTCATAGGGCTCCACTTCATTGGTTTGCTCAGGCGATTGCTGTCTTGTCAAAATATTTTCTTCGATCAGTGTATTTTCTGCAATCGAATGTTGAAATAATTAAATAATATCCTGCGTCCGTGGGGCACGACATTAAGTTATAATAACAATACCACGAATTGAAAGGCGCGATGCAAATGTGATTTTGCGTTGTATTATTAATAATTCTTAATAGTCATTATGAATAATAGGGATTTGAGAGCCAAAACAGAAGGTGTCATAATAGCAGCACAAGATCACCTGTTATTATGAAAATAAGATTTTGAAGAAAATTATTGGCCTGAAATGTCAAATGTGCCATCAAGCACCAGAAACAGTACAATATATATTGCCATAGCTATTGATCCTTGACTGAAAACCACTTAAAAACTACCCCTGTGGAGCGATCTAAACTGTAATAGTGTAACAACAATAATAATAATACTTGCATTTAATGTCTTTCAAAGGATTTACTGTAAAGCGCTGTAAAGTCACGACTGTGTATTTGGTTGGCAAAATGACCCCTAGATGCCAGCAGGTACCAAGTACCAGTGAGAGCCAGGGACAAGCAACAGCGCTCCAGATTTAATCCTAATCAACATCAGACTGAGTGTGGGGGTATAGAGCGTTCAACCAACCAGTTTCTAGATATCATCACCGGATTAACGTACGTCAGCTAAAACCAGACCCAGAACCTCTTTGACATTGGCGCTTCCAAAGAGCTAGAATTTCCCGCAAAGACACTCACTGTGCCTTTTCCCCAATGCTTTGATTTCGAATCCGTTTCGTTGCATTCGAGACGGGCTCGACTAGTCCTTAATAGGGACATGATTGAGTGCAAAAGTTCAGTGCAAAAGCCGGTGAGGTTCATCTAGTGTAAAATCAACTCTTGTAAGAAAACATCTGGCAGCTTCAAGTGAGTGGAAAGTTCTGTTAGAAACAAGTGACTATTCATTGCCTGAGTGGGTCACGTGAGCCAAGATCAACTGGATTAAGAACTTAGAATTAGTTGAGCGAAAATTGCATTAATTTAGACTAAGTAGTGAGAAGCAAACATTCAAATCTTTCACTTTGCAGCAATTTGCGTTTTTTTGAAGAAAACTGAAAACCACATTATGTGAATACAAATTGCACCAGGAAAAGAAATAAGTCTGGTCACTCAACTACATTTTGAAACCCTACTTAGTACACAAATATTATTGCCGCTGTAAAGCTACCGTTCCAGTGCTGTAAGAGGAAACCTAACAAGAAAATGTAATGAAAACAGGAAAGCTCATTGCAAATGAGTGGCTGAATTCAAACATAGCTGAGTTCTCCTTAAAAAAAAATGATGTGTACCATTGATGGAAGTGACCACAGAGGCTAGTGCTTAACCTTGATTGCCTGTGCATTAAATGGTTCCCTCCATCCTCCTTGTAGTTTTTAATATCATCCTTGTGAGCAGTTCTCAAATGATACCACAAGTGCTGTGTGTTTTGTAATCGTGATACAATTCTATGTAAAGTAACACAGTATGAATATTACGCCCGGTCCCATACCCCTCTGCTTCCCTTCGCATCTAATCTCTTTTTAATGACATTCCCTCCGGCGCTGAGTGTTTGCAGCATTTTCCGCAGTCGACATTTGAACTGTGTGCTACATCCCAACACCTGAGGTCACTTATATTTCTACGCCATAACCTTTCCTCCCATCCTATCACATCATACACATTCCATACAGGTCTCAGCCTTGTCACTCATCTCCTACCCTCCTGATTTGTGATCTCCTCATCTCCTGTCCTCCACCTAATTATTTCCTTTGTCTTTCTTTCCCCGCCCTCTTCTCCGTTTGTCCTTATTATCTGCTCCCTTCCAACATGTCCCCCAATTCTGACTAAAGGTCATCGACTTGAAACGTTAGCTCACTTTCCTCTCTCTCCATAGGTGCTGCCTGACCTGCTGAGTTCCCAGCCACTTCTATTTTTATTTCAGGTTTCCAGCATCTGCAGTATTTTGCCTTCTGTTGTTGTTATTGCTGGCACAGCGCTTTGGGTAGTAGTACAGTAGTTGGACCTACCTTTGTAGCAGAGATTTTCCCTGCAGCCTCCACCGTAGCTTGGCGGGCACTCAGAACACGGGCGTCCATGTTGGTAAGGAGCCTCTCCAATCCAGTTACCCCTGGTTAGTGAAACAGGAAGGAAAATAGATATATATATCACTGATTCCAACTCAGTTTCAATGAGTGTTTGTTTCACTGCAAAATAGCGACGTGCAGGTTCACTTTGATTACTTTGATTACAGAACACTTCTGTTCTGTGAAGCGCTTTGAGACATCTCGTAGACGTGATAAGGCGCTATACCAAAATGCAATGGTTATTAACACTCACACTTCAACCAGAGTAAGAGCCAAATTAACATCCAGCAGGACGTATATATAAAAAAAAGTGCAACCGTTCGGAGAAATCTACAATGCAGTGTTCCACTCTACGATCTCCGCATTGCATGCTGCTTGAGTTTATACTAAAATAAGCATCAAAGTTGATTGAGTCAAGAGATGATCAAGCATATTACTTTGGTGAATAATTGCACACTAAGTAGACGGCGTTCTCCCAGATCTCTCCCCATACGTTCATCCTTCTGCAGACGTTGACAGCACAACCGACTCTGTTAGTTGTCGCCCACACCAGCTGAGAACAAACAAGACAATGTGCGTTAACCTACAAAATACACAGTCGTTTCTCTTTACAGTATATTCTGTGAAGCGCTTTGAGAAGTTCTCGAAGGCGTGAAAAGGCACCATATCAAATGCAAGGATTATTATTATATTTTTATACTTGTTTAACGTGCCACTTGTGCGCAAGTGCTGTGCGGGGAAGAAAGGAGATGCCACCAAAGTGCACGTAAGAATTGGCGATCAACCTGTTGCAATTGAGGGGTGAAAGAAATCTGCAAATCCAACTCTGGAAACCCTCGTTCTTGGCCGTCGAGACAGGTAGAGAGTGTTGAAAAATCATGAGCAACTTCACTTAGTGTTTAGTTTCCAAACAACCGCGGAGCTCGATGACAAATGATGCACGTCTTAATGAACGATTAACACAGTGATACCAAATTGCTCTCAATAGTTTCCAGCTAAGTATCACCTTCCGATGGGACATCGTGGCTATCGAATACATCATTCATGTCTGGCTGAAGGCTGTTGATCCAACTAAAATATTGACAGTAAACCAACCATCCAGAAAATATCCTCCATGTGTCTATTGTATTGAAATGCAGCCATTGTTGGGTGCAGCACCCAAAGAGAAACAGTGGGTCGTTTCATTTTTAGCTGGAAAGCACAGCTGATCAAATCTGGACTGAATTGCAACAATTTCTTCCACATCACCAACAGTGAGTTAACTTGTTGACTGCAATATCTCAAGCGCTCTGGGACACTACCCTGCGTGAGGGGCACTATATATAAACGCAAGTGAAAAGCGCTCTATCAAATGCAAGGATTATTATTATTATTATTATTATTAAAGTTGTTATTGTTGGTGGTGGTACTGTTCCAATGCTATCTTTTGACTTCAAACTGGTGCTTAATGATCAATGTCAAAAATAGCTTTGCACCAAAACCACCTGTCTCCGTGCTCATTCCTTCCTACTCTTCTAAACTCCAATCGTCCTCACGCACAAACCACTTCTCACATTCACGACCATCCAAAAGTCATAATTCATAATAATAATAATAATAATACAGTAATGCCATAATAATCGGTTTGCTTTTACTATATTTGTGTGAGGTTCCAAACACCGATAGCTCAGAACATTTAGACAACAACAACAGCAACAAGAAATGGCATTTGTACAGCGCCGTTCACATCGGGAGGACGTCCCAAGGTGCTGAAACCAGCTGAGCTCTAGACTTCGTAGGCATTGTGTGCTGAATTGCCCTAAACTTGAAGCGCTTTGAGACGTCTCGAAGACGTGATCAGGCGCGGTACCAAATGCAAGGATTATTATGACACAAGGGGAAAGGCAGCCAGGAATCCCGCCTCCTGATCACTGTCCAGTGCCCCCTGCTGGTGGCGAGAGTGTGTACAGAATCGACAAACGTGAGCTTGTCTACGTCACCGCAGCCTAATTGATCTTCTTACCTGTGTGTAATGGGTGCACATTGGACCGGAACATTTTTCAGGACACCAGGGATTGCACTCGTGTGGGTATGGGTAGGTGTAATCCTTCACCTCATCGTACCACGCCTGTACATGGAAAGCTGGTGAGCGATATCTGAAACAACAGAAGTTCTTGTCATGGTCGCTGGCAATCGCTTACGTTGCTACTGGGGAGGTGTTAAGACGGTCTCATCGAATAGTAGCCCAGCTCAGGGGGGGAGAGAATGGAGATGATAAAAGGTTGAATGCTGATAATATTACATTTTCCCTACAAGGAGAGCATGTGCTCTTGTTACCCAGTAACACACCACAGTTGTGTATTGAAATAAGCACAAGTATCATATGATGCTGAATCCACACTGGAGTCTCACCTTCCCCAATGCACTGCCAGGTTCTGACCTATCGATTTGAGCAGCTGCGAAGGACCATGTTCCCACATGCATTCATTGGCCCAGCTTTCCGCAGATCTCTCCAGGTCTTTATCCCACTCCTACAAAACAGAAAGATTTAAAGAGGTCACAGGTGGCAACGGATCACAGCTTAAAAAACACACACACACACACACAACCACCCATCAGAACAACTCTTGTCAGATATATTCTAGTATTTTTTCCATCATAGAACTTGGCACAGTCACTATTCATTCATTCATTCATTCATTCATTCATTCATTCATTCATTCATTCAGGAATGATGTTCTTATTTTATTTCAGAACGGAGAATCAGCACCAACTTGGCTCATCGGGAGTGCTCTCATTTGGGAGTCAGACGCTTGTGGAGAGGAGACAAGGCTCATACAGGGATTTTTAACTCATTGGTGTTGGCTGACACTCTAATAATATGGGGCTGAAGGAGCTCTCCATTGTCAGAGGTGCCTTCCTTAGGATGAGACATTAAAGTCTCGATGGCAGGGATTTACAAGAACAAAACTCAGACATCACACAGCGTGTGAGGTACAGCTCCTGGCTCTCATTGTACACGTTCACTTGGGGGATTTTAATCTTTTCTTTCAACCTTTTTTCATTTGCCGGTAACTCTTGGCTTTACAGACTAACTGTACTAACTGCGTGTGACAGTGACTGTCACAAGGAAGGACCTGATTCCGATGGCCCAGGAGTGACGTGCGAACGTATAGTCAAGGCGGTGATGAACTCACCATGTGTTCCATGTTGGAGGCTGAAGGGTAGACCTGGCCCCTCAGCTTGTTATGAAGTTGTAAAACTTCCTCTTTGTCGATCTGGAGGATGGCTCGCTTGGTTCTCCAGTGGCTTCTGTACTTGAGCAAACTTTCAAAGTGTGAGGCATTCTGCAGAATGAAGCAACACGTTTCCTGCACCATCACTACCAACGCAGCAACAGTGACCCAGGAGGAGAAGGGATTCATCGCTGTAATGTTACGGATCTTGGCTATAGGGTAGAGAGCGGTGCGTATACTCTAATAAACTCAATCTGAAAGCAAGACAGAAAGAATCAGAGGCTTGTTTATTGCTAAAAAGACATTTGTCTCCTTGTTATACATTCTTTGTGTCAATTTTTTGGAGGAGGGAGTGAGGGGATGGTTTTCCTTATTTATACATGAAAAACGCAATTTATAACATACATTATACATTATTTCTGTTATATATTGTATATGTAGATGTCAGTCGCAATGGAATTTCATATCGAATTATCAAGAGAAGCAAAAAAAAAGAAAAATGTAACATTCACGCTTGAATCTTTCAACCTAAAAGTAAGTTTATCCAGTACTAAAAGCCAAATATTATTATATTATTATAAGTCAGGCAGAAACAGACACGGGGGTTAGTTTACAGGCTGTTTCTTGGGTCAGGGACTGGAGCAGGCAAGCGTTGCGCTCTTCTGAAATCATCTTCCTTGAGTTATCTTAGTTAAGTCAAAGCGATCTCAGCATTTCTATCCCCCGCCACCCCCCCCCCGCGCCCCACCACACACACACACACGCACACACACACAACACACACTTTATTTGATTCATATTGTCCTTCGATTTCGACTCCGAGCATTTGTTGTTTAGTTTTTTCCCCCCAAAACACACTGAATTCCTGACTTTGTCTTTAAACTTCAATCCTTCAGTCAGTAAAACCATGGATACATAACTTGTTAAAAATCAGATTGGTGGGAGGTGTGTGTGTGTGTGTGTGTGTGTGTGAAGTGGGGGGTGGGGGTGTATTTTGGTATTTGGTACATTATTATACAACCAAGAGATTTGCAAAGTCGATGCAGTGTTTCCAAAGGGAATTAACCCTTTAACACTTTGCATGCCACAGGTTGGGGAATCCACATCACCAGCGTTTGTGTGTGTGTGTGTGTGTGTGTGGGGGGTGGGGGGGGTGTGTGTATATGGGGGGGGTAGGGGTGGGGGATAGATTGCAAAAGGGAAGCAAGAGAGAGACTGATCCTGGGCTTCACAATGTTAAGGGAGAGCATTAAACAGACTGGTTAACGTGTTTGCTGAACCCAATAAAATTTCTAACACAGTTCTTTTTTAACTGGAAAGCAACTCACCATCGCAAAAGAGGCTTCAACACTCACCTTACTGCAGGCAAATCAGCCCCAACGGAGGAGGAATCCTCTTGTGTTTTCCTAAAACTTTTTTCTTTCTTCCTTTTTCTCTCTCTCTCTCTCTCTCTCTCTTAAAAGTTGCCTTATTTTCTTGGAAAAGCGTATGGGGAACTCACTCAAAACACTGCCCCAACTCAAGTCAAGTCGATCAGATTATGCACAAGAAGCTCACTCTCACTCACACAAAAAAATATATAATATCACTGAGTTTTTTTTTTGGGGTGGGGGTGTTCAGCTGCAAAATATTCTAAGGCAGTCTGTGCTGATTCGATGTCCCCTGTTCTCTCCCCACCAGCAAATACGAGGTGGAGGATTTATATATTTTTTGATCAAAGCAAAAAAAAAAAAAAAGTTGCTCTGGTCACATCCTGCAAACTGATTCTTGGCTCTGACCCTCAGTGACGTTGGGCAGAAGTGACGATGTGTGAAATGTACATTACTTGTGGTTGGATCGACGTAGACAAAAAAAAAACATCTGCCAATTTAGCAACCCAAGGAACCAACTCGGATGAGATCTTTCGGAGTTTTCTGATCCGCACTCGCGCAACTTCTCGGTGTGTGTGTGTGTGTGTGCGCGTGTTTTTAAGTTGAAAGTGAATTTGAAAAGCAGAAGGAAAACGCGCGGAGAAGCCATAGGAAGACGCTTTCTTCAGTAGTCACGACCCGATTACAACGGCGACGATAATAATGATAACAATAACGATCGTGATAATAATCCTTGCAGGCGACACAGCGCTTAAATCGCGTCGTTGAGACGGCTCATAAAGCGTCTCGGCGGAATTTATGGTCAAGTGGACTGACTGGGCACTTTTGTGAGCAAAACACGGCAGCCAATTGCGCAACGCAATGTCCCACAAGCAGTCGGAGGTTGAGTGACCCAATTTTTTTTTTGGGGGGGGGGAGGATTACTCCCGGAAAGCGATGCATCGATTGACTAATGGGGGTGGAGTCCTGTAGCTCAGTGGTTAGAGCACTCGCTTTGCAAGCGAGAGATCTGAGTTCAATTCCAGGCAGAGGGCGAAACCTTGGGCAAGTTTCCTTACTCCACACGCCTACAGTCTATTCTGTGAAGCGCTTTGGGGCGTCCTCCCGACGTGAAAAGCGCTATATCAAATGCAAGGATTATTATTATTATTAACGACCAGATTCCTACTTACTCCTAGGTGAACAGAGTAGGCCGTGGAGTAATGAAACTCGCCTCGGTTTTAGTTCCCACCGGAACTATTCAAACCCAAACAATCTCACTGCACTAATTTCACGCCTGGTTCGTTATACGATATTCCTGTGTCTTACGAGGGTCCGTCAGCCACTTTGGGATATCATTTATAAAGGCAACACGGAATCATTAATAGAACGCAGCGTGTATTCAATGTAGTCCTTTTTCCAATAGCGGCTCAAGCAATGCGTTGCGAGCGTGCACCCGAAACTGGCTGGTGAAAGACTGTACAGCACTTTATTTTCGTGAAGGATTAGATGATAAGAGTTACAACCACATGTTTTCCTTTTCATAAATAATGCGTAGAAATCTTGGTACAAAGTGTCATTGGTATTGTTGCCACACACCTGTTGCCAAACTACTGTTTTTCATCAGCATATAATTTAATAACAGGAAATGTTGCGGCACCTTCGCTGACCAGATCTGAAAACACGTCTTTATCTGTTTAATTCTGTTGCTTATGACTTTTACACACATATATATATATAAAATTTGTAATACATATTATATATAAAACAAGTTATAAAAAAACATTGTATTAGATCTAATCAATCACTCTGTGTTGCAATCTGACAAAAGTCATAAAAGATTAAAAATCATCCCTTGCCTTCACAATGTGCTCATTTCATCAGCAACATATTGGGAATTGCTTCACAGGATTTTACTGCCAAGTGTAGTGACTGTGTATTTGTAGGCAGACGAGGCAGCCAATTTTCACACATCAACGGTCCACAAACAACCACGAAGTAAATGATCAATTTTATTTGGAGGATAGTTAGCCAGGACACTGCCTTTTCCTTTAGAATAACGCCTCGGGCTCTTTAACATCCACCGAAACGGGCAGGTGGGACCTCGGTGTATAACGTCTCACTCATGAAGAACATCTTCAGCAGTGCAGCCTGTCACCCTCCCAGCACTGCACTGAGGCGTCAGCCGAGCATGTGAGCTCAAGGTACCAAGGTGGGTCTATTCAACAAGTAGGAGATATTGAACAAACATTCCCGGTGCAAATGTAGAATATCTGCAGAAGTAACTCGTTCCTTTACGTCTCCGTTGGCAGCGTCGAGTGTGATGCTGGAATGGGATTTTGCAGCCAGGGTTGGGAGTTTAGTGCAGAATTGTCTAATGGTTTGGTTCATTGGAACCCTATGCTTTGGAGTTCAACAATGATTTGACGGAGGGAACTACTCCAGGTCTTAATGGTTTGACTCGCGTCAACGTGCAAGCTGCTGTCGCTACTACCACCTAGTGGTGACAACTTAAACGCACGCTCTCCCCTGTGCATCCGAAGCTCGGCAACTCATCTTGGAATTTGTTTACGCAAAAGCTGAGAAAGGGTAACGAGATCGAAACTGTCGCTTGACAACCTGGAGTGACCAGTAATAATAATCCTGGTGTTTGATATGGCACCCGAGTACAGCGCTCGTCGGGAATTTCTTCCCAAATCCAAAGGAACTGAATAGGATCAGGAAATGTTTATTTTATAAAACAAAATTGAAGAGTGCTTTACCCCCCCCGATACTTGAATACATTTCTGATGTTCAGGTACCTTGACATTGCCTACATGTCTCAAGTTGATTTGCTTAAATTCCATAATTTCAATTAAAGACTGTATACCAAGAATGGAAAACAACTCAAAATTATGTGCACCTCGAAACTGTACTGTGACAAGTTCGGTACTTCGATGCCTTGCAATTGAGATTCGGTGTGGTAATCTAGTAACTAACCATCAATTTTATTTTTGTCTGGTCTCTTGCGAATCTGGAAAACACCTCAATAACTTCCCCGTGAAGTAATGCTTCCACGAATTTAGATTCGACTGCAATCTTGCACTCTTAGTGTTTATTTTACATGTACACAAAATAACAGATCTGAATGTGCGCTTTTAAGGCAGTGGTTTATTCGAGGCCTCAGCACTCTCATCGATTCCTGCCTTTCCCCCACGAGCATTGGGTATGGGCACGAGTAAATTTACAATGTGGTTGTGCATATCTGTAGTTTTGCCAGTATTTTGCCTCCAGTACGTAAGCACAAAGGGACAATTTGCACTCAGCTTAGACTCGCGGGTCAGCCATGTACAAATTAGAAATAAGATACACTACGTGTATTTACACACTACGTTCCAATTGCCTTCACCACTGATCCAGTTGAGTGCAGCCATTGTGTGGGGCCAAATATTTTGAAAGGAGAGCATTTATGAGACAAGTGGGCTTCAATTTACATGAAGTCAAGAATGCAGCTGCTAACTAAACACTTATTAATAATTCCACTCACCAGCTGATCAATAGTAGACCAGACACTTACCCGTTGGAAACTACCTCCAACTCCAGCCAAAACATACACAGAATAAATGTGATCATTGAAACGGCCTAATTAACATGTACCTCAATGCAAGGCTAAAATCATCTTGCTTAATATAAAGCTCTTCAAATGCTTCATAAGTCTTTTCCTTCCTTCGACAGAAGTGGACATCCAAGTTTGAATCAACTGCAACAAAAGGCAAACCCGAGGGCAATGGACCTGGTTGGGATTTGAATCGGTGAGTATAATTTTTGCTTTGCGTTATTTGGATTCTGTGGGTTTCAGTGCCTTGGGACCCTGCTCCCGATGTGAAAGGAGCTATATAAATGTAATTTGTTGTTGTGCAATGCCACCCCATTTCCTCTCGCTCTCTACCCCACAAGTGAAATATTACCAAATGTCAGTTCTAAAAGTTTTTCTTTTGTTTATAGACACTTTTTTCTTTTACAAAACCCTCTACCACCAAACGCATCCACCTGTGACAATGGTAGGGTATTACAATTGGTCTTGGGACTTTGGGGGGGAAAATCAAACAATTAACTTGTGCAGTGGGCTCCTCTGGACCTGATGTATGGAATATGTTATGCTAGATCCCCAAACTGGTCATAGAATTAAACCTTCAAAGTTGCATTTCAAACACTATGTCCTCAAAGCACCACTACCAATACTTTGGTTTATGGTACCCTTGTTTGTGAGTAGAATGAGGTAGAATATAGAATCCGCCAATGAGTAACGCCACTTCTCAGTGAGAAACTTGGAATGGTCCAGAGGTTTGTACATCATATAAATGAGGACTAGAATAGAGGGCTAAACTCTGTTTCAAGTAGAGATTACACTGGGCAATGTTCCATAGTAATAGACTTTTATTCAATGTAGTTCTTCTGCAAGACAACAAATTAACTCATAAGTTCAAGTTCACAGAATCTAGAAGCAAATCATTTAGTTACCACGTATGTATAGTTCTTAAAAAGCTCGGAAAATTATCTCACATTAAAATGTCAGCCATGTTTGGTCATTTAAGAAAGGATTTCGAGGTACTGGGGAAAGTTTTATTAGGGAATGCACAAGTTAGAGAAACCACCGTCTCAATACATAAAAAGTTGGGAAAAGAAATTTCTCAATAATATGAACTCAACAGATTTTTTTGAAAGCAAAAACAGACACTTGTCCATCAATCCCTGGAAACCAAATATGGAAAAAAGGTTTTAAAATCAACGACCAATCCCCAGAACCAACTCCCTCCAGCCCAACAGAAAACTCTATTCTCAAAACCAATAGTTAAAAGTATTTGCCTTAGCCTCTAAGTGGCTCAATATGTGTAATTTCTTACGGCAGTAAAAGTCCAGTCTATTAAAAATGCTGTAGCATTTTACATTCAAACTGTTAGCTTGTGGAAAGTATGGCAATAATAATGCGATCTCTTTTTTGATGTGAAAGTAACTAGTAGTTATTGGTGAACGAGGTGGTAACATTTTGTTGAACCAAACAGGCAACTGATTCCACTGTTTATGAGCATTATGTTTACTGTTTTTTTTTATATACTTTTGGGTGACAGAAGTGGAAAGAGTTGTTAGTTGACTGCAAATTTGTAAGAATGTTACAAAAGCAAAAAAAAAAAGTACTGCATTTGCTAACTACAGGAAAGAAAGATCACAGGCAAGNTTTTTTTTAAAGTTACAGCCCTGCAGAAGTTGCACAAAGAACAAATAAAACCAAAGCCGGTTGAACGATTCTGAATGGGTAACTTCTTACCTTGGAATTCTAGAACTACAGAGGGGTCTTAAAGTTATACCACTTTCTTGCATCGATATAGGACAAACCGAAATAGGTTGCTCTCTTCGCTGGAAATCAGTGTTTCTTTGCACCATTATGACGGCAATTTCAATTCAGCCCCAAACAGCTATTTATTTGAAGAGCCTGCATGAATTTATTGACTGATGGGCGACAACCTCAATTTTTCTATAAATATCACTATGTTGTGTACAGTTCCATTTCAACAATTAGAGAAGAGCAAAACTACGGAAAGTAAACAAAGCCGGACTGAACTGTTAATGGAATTATATCAATCATCTTTTTTTTTTATGAAGTTTCAATTGTGTACACAGAAGCATAATTGCAATTAGAAGTCTTAGTAACTGCATTAAGGTTACAATCACCCATCTATGCAGACTCAACATCTCAACTCAAAAAAAAAAAAATGTGGGTTTGCAGGTTATTTTTGTAACGTGCAGTTTTAAGCTTTTTCATTAAGCATTTTTAAACTGTTGGCATCCTATTGCTACTCAACACCCAGCAATCACACACGCAAGTTTTTCCTCATCAAAACACCAAAGCATTCAGCACGTAGGAACACTTTTCATTCCCCCTCAAAAACATCGGCTCAAGTGTTACCTATTATCAAAAGCAAAAACATTAGCAACTGATCGTTTCGAAGTTAAAGGTTATGAAAGATGTCACATAGAGACATAAAATCTACAAGATTTGCTGCTGGTGCACGTTTCCAGGTTTTTTCCATTTAAATTCTAATCCAAGGTTACCAAGAGTGGATTTGGAAAGTTGCAGTGAGAGAGGGAAGGATTTAAATGACAAGTTGGTGCTCTAGGAAGCAAGATGCCTGCACGACACAGCAGTGACAGTTCACAGCAGATCAACCCGGCGATAGTACAGGAGGTAGGCTGTACGTTCAGCAGAGGGCTTCACAACCTGGTACTGATTTATCACTTTGACTAGCTGATCATCGATGCGCAACCATCCATTAAGACCAATGTGGAAGACATCTGTAGTGTAATGCCCGCCAGTCGCACTGTTTCCGTGGTGATAGACAACTAAAAAAAAAGACAAGGCATTGAAAAACATCGTCTCAAACCATCTTAAACTTTGAAATCGTCAATTTTCTGTAGATATAGTTTTATTTTCCAAATGCACACATACACAGTTAATGTCAATAATAAGTAGAGGTATGAACTTTAAACTTTGTATGCTTAGTGGCAGAAAAAAAAAGTGTCAAATGATTTATACTAGAATTTAACATCCAAACAGTTTATATTCAAGACATTTGGGAGTTAAAATACTACCAGATACTTTATAACAAACAAAGAACTTCACAAACTAGTGGGCATCAATTTTTCACATTCATTTCCACTCATCAATTTTGTATTCCACTTTGAAAAAGATGATTCAACATTAGTCTTACACTCGTTCAACCCACAACACTATTGCTAGCCTTAAACAGCAAACTAATCGGTTTCAGAATAAGCCATTGTGCCATTCTTGTTAACCCCTAAACAATTTACATTTATATAGCATTTTTCACGTAAAAAGACGTCTCAATACTTCACAAAAAATAATCATTTGAAATGAAGTGACTATTATATAGCTTAAATGAGCTAATTTGTGATGGTAATAGCCCACAAACAATGAAATGTGTAGTTTTTTTTTACGCAACAGTCATATTGACCAGCAAAAACACAGGGTATATGTATCCTGTGAAAGTACTGTCCAAGTATTCAAGTTGTACTATGACAAAAACAGATTACCAAGAACTGTCCTGTTGAGAAATGTACTCACAATATGTTCCATTACCACTGTCCAGGATAACAGGGTAAAACAAAATGGAAAAATTCAACTTGCTTGTACTTGGATTGACCCAAGAGATTTCATTGAGAAATGAAAGCACTGATTCACAGAAACCTTATGCAACGACAGACGATTGAAAAGCATATGGGCAAAGTTAGAATAGTTTCAAGGAAACAAAAAAACCTTCAAGACTTCAAAACAAAGGTTCATGTACCGGGGGTGGGACCAATCAGTGCAAACTACCTTATGAAAGTCATTTCCGTTTAGAATGAAAGTCACAAGATTTGCAACAACATAAGCTTTTTTTAAAAACATTTTAGGACCATGACTTTTGGCATGCCCCAATTATTCATTGTACTGCTTTGTGGTTTCTAACCAAACACTGTTGAGCAGATGTAAGGCAGACTGCACAAACATAGAGACTCTGTACTCACCACAGCAAGCTATGTTGACATTGGGACTAATATGCCTTTATCAGCATATGCTATATTATAACCTTCTGTTTCGAAGTCCAAAGCATACTCAATACTTAGTCAAGCACTGAACAGCTGCGTATTAAAACTGGGGTAAAATCCTGATTATATGAAACTGCATATTAAAGCAGTGTGGCTGACAACTAAATGACTAGAAATTAAGATACGCTTCCCAGTTTGACAAATCTCGGGACAATTACCTGCATGCCTGTTTTACACACATTCTATATTAATACAAAGAACTTCTGAACGGAAATTCAAACTCGCCAAAGGACTAGAAAATTGAAGTACCATCACATGCTATAATTTTGTGAAAACTGGCAATTTCAGTGGAATTCAAATCCCAAGTCAATGCCAGTCTTCACAGCTGGAAGACAGTGTGTATAAAAAAAACAGAACTGCAGCTGAAAGAACAAAACAGCAAACCCTGAATACAAACCCATTCTTTCAGTGTTGTGAATAAACGTCACCTCAATGTGCCTAAATGTTCTACAAACTCAAAAAACTCCAGTTGAGGGAAGTGCGTGCCCAGTGCTGTAAATCATTGCTGCCAGTCGTAAATATGATACCAGTCGTATCATAGCTCCAAAACAGAAATATATTTTGTATTTTAGTTCTTTAAAGCAATAGAGAACATGAAATGGTGATCAGGGATCAACGAATATTAATCAGCGGGACTTCTCTCAATGGTTCTGAGAGCAAACACACATAGTGTGGTACCAAGCCATAAAAAAAACAGGACAGCCAGTGGCTAAATTGCTGGATTGTTCTTAGGTTGATCACAGTCAGGACTAAGGTGAGAATAACATAGGAACAGGAGGAGGCTATTCAGCCCTTTGAGCCTGTTCCGCCATTTAATTAGATCATGGCTGATCTGTACCTCAACTAATCCTTTCAATTCCCCAATTTCTCCCCATATCCCTTATGATGACTGGCGGTAAAATTGTTCAGTGTAAATACTGTCACTGTAAGAACAAAGTAAAATGAAAAACTTTACTAAATAAAGTTACCCTATGATAGAAAATATAGGACCGAGTGCCCAGACACATTATTCAAACTTCACAACTGTATGCAGGCTGGTCAGGACATCCTGACCATGACAAACCTCAACCTTCAATTGAGTTAGACCTCTAATAGCTGCACAACCAAACTGCCTACTTATTTCCTTTTTAAATTTATATAAATAACTAAGTCTTCAAGGCATGTAATAGCACCCAGTTTGCTGCCGGCTCATTTCGTGACTCACAGAATCCGTGCCCAGAAGTCTGTACAGGCAGCACCTTTGTGTTGGTATCTAAAAACAGACCTATAGACTATAAGCATTTTTCAGATATATACTAACTTTTCCACGGAGTTTAACCAGCTTTACAAGAAAGGGCAAACACAAAAAAATTATTTTGAAGGCTCCTCAAAAAGTTTCTCACTTGTCCAATATTACCGTTATATTACACTGAAAACACAAATGGTCGAAAGAGATAATAAAAGGGAACGAAAAAATATTTGATTTGATGCCCTTAGAATAAAATGGATTAAAAGAAAGCAGATTTAGTGGCAGACGCTTGCCAGCCTAGGTGACTTGCCTGTCTTCAGTTTTGTTACCAGAATGCACCAGAGGTATTATCTAGCGGACGAAGGGACTAAAGATCAAACAGACTCCTGACTCATCCCAGGAGAAGAAACACTCCTACTTAGAAAGGCAGGCAATTCCATATCAACCGGTGGCTACATTGACACATTGAAGATATGGAATACTTTACTGTACTAATGTACTGTTTTTCTGTGGTCTGGAAACTTTACAGAACACTTTATCCCTTCCACTAGAACTGCAAAAACAAACATTCAGTTATTTCCCCCCCCCATATGAGTTTAATGCACTGAAAATAATTAAAGGGAAAATAAAGTATCTATTATGCAATCGTCCCTTTGTCTTACAGTTCATGGCCTCTAATAAAAAGATAATTCTCTGATTCAAATATTTGACAGGAGCAGGTCTACCTTTTTTATTTGCTGATGAACGTGTCTGGGTCTTGCTTTCTCATAAAACCATCAACTGGCATCCACAATAGAAATACCTATTACACTCCCATCTCAATTTCTTTAGGAAAATCAAGGCTGTTTATGTAAGAATCTCTGATTCAGCTATGGATTTTCCCCTCTACAGCCTCTGCACTCTCACTTCATACAACTTGCAAACGCAACTTCTTGAAAGGTAGACTTTGTACTGTGTGCTCACTGGAACGCAAAATGAAAAGTAACGTAGTCAGATTTGCCAATAAAGCAGCCAGCCCCACAAGTATTGGGGTAAAGTCACCAATCAAGTGTCTCAGGGGAAAGTGCAGCCTCAATTTCATGATAGTTTGGGGAGCAGCAGGAAGGAAGTGAAAAATAAAACAAAACTCTGTGATCTGAGTTTAAGATTGTTTTGTTCCCCTTAAAAATGTTTATCAATTCCAGTACAGGCTGTACAGATTTGTCTCTTAGCTATCAACCCAATGAGGACAACTTGCTTCTGCTGGTAACTACTAAACAATGCTGTAAACCAGTTATAGCAATTAAGTGGTTGTATTGCTTTTACAGTGCTATGGTTTTGGATGAATTATATCTAGTAGACAATCTCCTATTGGCTAAAGATGTGAAATGTGACAAGCAAATTTCATCAAGATCATGGCTGTGTTCCCAGCCATCAGCACAATGAAAATCAAAGCCACGTTTCAATTTTGTGAGGAATGCTTTCACTTGGTTATTTTGCACTTTTTCTCAATTGTGGATAGAAATTCATGTCTGAAAGTAAAGCCCTAATTCCACCCATTAATCCTACATACAATTGCTTGTAAATTAGCACATCCCACTACAAGCTACTGTCGCCAAACAATAACTGTCCAAGTCCAACAGTATGTAAACTACCATCACCACATGCTTTCCGTGCGTAATTCACTTTGAATACCAACAGTACATCCATAAGAAGAATGTAAGAGAAGCTTCGAAAACATATTCTCTGTTAATCATTGTTTTTCCATATGAGCATTGTCAAGAGTCAAGACGGTTCAATAAACTAATGGAAACTAACACATGGAACAAATGAAGAACTAATCCCTTCTTGTTTTGATATATACCTGGGAGTTTCTTTCTTGGAATTGTATAATCAGCCGCCCCCCCCCCCCCCCCCATTGTAGTTCTGCATAGCATGTTGCTCTAAAATGTTTTAAGACATTATGCAACCCAGATTTTATACAAAAAAAAATTAAATGTGAGACAAATTTCTGGGAGACGGAGTATGAATCATGAGGAAGTTTGTTGGAGCTGGTCGTTTGTTTACTGAGGCCTGCTTTTAACTTGCAACTTCACCGTGACCGACTCAACAAATATATGTGATAACTATTACAAGGTTTCACTGATGCAGATAATAAATCAATGAGGACAATTCTTCATTCCATGTGTAGAAAAAGTAAGCGAGTCAAGAAAAAAAGATAATGACTTCTAATCAATATAGGGTTTAGATTGAGATCAGCAGACACCGCAATGGTTGAAGGCAAGCAATACACTTGTAAATATCTCGATTAACCTCAATGCCTGTGTAAGGAAAAGTCAATCTAGAAAGCACTGATCCAGATCTCGATTAGGCAGGGTACTGGAGTCTCAACTTCACCTGTAGGTAAATGTTGTTTTTAAAAAGATTAAGACATTTCAATGAATTAGAGGCAAATAGACCAAAAGAGTTTCCACCTGCATCAGCAAGACTGCACATTTCTGTGTGATGTTTACTATATATTGTTACTCAGTTCATTTCACCCATCAAGGTTACTGCCAAGAATGCACTACTATTTTATTGGTTTGGTTTGGGTTTGAACCAAGGGCTTAACAGCTCAAATCCAATCCAGACAAGGTTACAAGCCACAGTGCTATCAGGTCCCTTTTCTTTTGATTTTGTTCATTCTTGGAGACTGATTTTCCAAAAGAATCAAGTCAGTGAGTGCTCTGGTTTCTGTTCAAACGAGAAACGTGCTACAATAACAATTACTGTAGCTCCTACCACCATCCCACTAAAAACAAACTACATTAAGTAGAAATGGCTATGTGAAGAACTTTGTGAGAGAGCTTCTTCATCTGAAAGGTACCATACAAATGTAAATTGTTGTTGCTAGTTTTTAAAAATGGCAATTTTTTTGATGCACAGGGATTTTGTTGGAACTTTTTCATTGCAATAAATTAACTCCCAGAAGTTTGGATTTTCAATGAGTAACTATCATCCTAATAAAATACTCACTATTCTCAACAATTAACATACCTGCAAAGAGCCTATAGGTTCTTTGGACTTTGAAAATCTTGCTTTTCACGCCAGGAGAAAGGAGATCTGAAATAAAAAGTGTTGATATTAGTGAAGGATAGCTTGTTAGTCTGACTATACTTTATCACGATAGTTTTTAACATTATATCGCAAACGAGAATAAAGAGAGATTTTAAAATCTAGCTGTTAGCGTGAGAAATTCACAACATTCTCAATTAGTTTTCAAGTGAAACTAATCAAGGGAATGTGGAAAAAAACACCTCAATAATGGTTACGCACAATCTAATAAAATGCAAGATTTATTGTACATGATTCAGTTTCAACACTTGGCTTTGTGTTCTGCCAAAACCCACAATTTCACATTAGTGCCCAAATAAAACTGTCAAACAGAACAGACACACGTAAATCCTGAAGCATCAAAACTTCATGCTTAAGCGTCTGAAAACTCTAAGAAACTGAGCCATTAATCATCGACTTCAGTGTGGGTTTTGTGGGACGGAGAACAAAGACAAAACTATATCCGATACTGAAAGAGAAACCATTATAAATGCGAAGCGGTTATGCTTTATTTGTCCCACGATATTTGGTTTGAAACCAAACCCATCGTAAAAAAGGTGAATGGCTCCTTAAACTAGAACCCGGGAAAGTGAAAAATTTCACTGATAACCGACTAAGCGAGTGCCATAAAGCTAGTCCATAATCCAGACCAAGTTGCTCTACGATTATTGTTAAAACATGCATACAGAACAGTTGTACAAACTTAAATCCATTAACAAAAGCAGTACAGTATTTGTGAGTCCCTTTGATTCTATTCAAGCGATGGGAAACGTGGAAATATTTAGGCATTACAGTCAATAAATAGCCTGCTTTCAAACCTACCACATTCAAATACCAATTTCATTTAATATAATGTACTTAAAATACTCTTCCACCACATCAACAAACATCCTGTTTAAAAAAAAATGAAATGGGAGGGCAGTTTATAATTAATCACAATTATGGTTTTCATGGTTTGCATCAGCTCTTAATTTCTCCTATGTGGTTAGGTGCAGACTACCCTTTACTGGCGCCTGCCTGAGAACTCCCTACCCACATAATTTTGAATAACCACTAATCAAGCGTCACTTCTCCACCTTACCTTTACTTATTTCAAGGTCAATGGGGTAATCAATATTTTTGATCAGTTTCTGGCATCCTCCGGTCTTTTCATAAACAAAGCGTTTAAAATGCAAAACGAGAACAGGAGGCACCTCTTCCAAGGTAACACGGCGACAAATCTCAACCTGAAACAAGAGGAAATCAGTGGCCTCACAAAGGTGGCAAATAAAAGGGATATTCCCGCTTTCTTCCTCTTAATTCAAGTTTCATTAAAGCAATGCCAAATCGCAGGCTAATTTGATCTCAAGTGTTTTGGCACAAAAGAGTATTAATTTTATTTTAGTGTCTGCATTCACTCGTTTCTTTGATAACCAATTAATTGCAGGCAAAAGTAGCCTTCGGCCACCATCTAACTTTCCACAAAAGAACTTTATACTTGGAATCCATGTTAATTAAAAAACTCACATATTATTATTAGATTTTATTACCTCTTGCTTGGTTTTAGTGGTGTATCCCTGGACAGACTCCCTAGCCACCAAGCTTTCCAGAGCATCCTGCACTGTACGAATCTTCTCGGACTGTATATCAAGCTGCAGTGAGAAGAACAGCTGGAGGGTGGCAGATTCCTTGGAACTTTGCTGGTATACTACTGACCTGAGGTAAATATAAAAAGTGATCAGATCATCAAAACCATGCAAACCACCATTGGCATCAACTACATGAAGGTCTTAAATGTTTACTTAAAATGGCAAAGGTTAGCTCAACTGCTGCTATTTGTGTCCTAACCATGCTCATAAATTACACCCGATATAAAATAGATTTTTGACAACCTGCCACCTGATCAGAAAAATCACTGGTAGGATAAATTAGGTGGATCAAAGCTGAATATGGACTACAGCATTAAGAACAAACCTTATTCTTAAATATTGAACAATTCATTAACCTGAGGGTTCAATGGTACATGACACAATGTTTAATGGGGTTTTAATACTACAGTGCTAAATAACTTATGGGGAAAGCACTTTGATGTGCTAAGGCTCTATGTCGAAGTATTTATGAGTGTTTATTCTATTATACTGTCTTAGCTACAGTTTGCAATATTAAGTCACACTGTATGAATACAAACTTTAGCAAAGAATGTTACAAAATGAGATGCAAATTAGTGAGCGTTCTGTCAGTAGGTTTAACTCTAGAACTCCAAAACTGAATCTCAGCAACCAAAATCCTATTGCTGAATTCATACATTTCAAGCCGCATAGGAATGACAAATGGTAGTCAGTACACATAATACAATGCATACACTCCATCTTGAGACAGGCTAGTGGATTAATACAGAATATGGGAAAACAACAAGCCGGACTAGAATTGACCAACAACAGCTTAGTAACTAGTGCCTCTATTCTTTAGAAATGTGATCATGTTCAAAACGCCATCGTCTTTTAAGCTCACTGGGCAAACCAAATCAATTGTCAGATATTTCAACTGATTAACGAACTGTATGAATGCAAAGGAGTCGCTGTACATGTAATTGGTAAGCGACATGAAATGCTACATATCCACGGTCAAAAACATTAAACATTTATCTCACTTTACATAACCTGATAGTCAAAAATAGACAGTCGTTATGAACTACCTGATATGCCCACCAAAGACGTCGGTGATGGGGGTTCGGATAAAGTCAGCCTGGCGAGTAACAGAGATTTTATTTCGGGGGCCAACTTGTTCCCATTCATCTTCACTACCTTCCCCTTGCTCCTCCTGGTTTTCCTCAGTACCTTGTTGTAGCTCAGGGCCATTCAAAACAGCATTTTCTGTAACAGAAAAGGATTTTAGAGAAAGACATTCCAGTTGCGTTTTACCATTCACAGGACAGCACGATTAGAAAATTTATGAATGTTTAAATAGCTCTGTACAACCTCATAATGCATTCATTCAGATTTTAGTGACAAGTTAATATTGAGATCAGGCTGGTAACAGAATATTTATCAGCAGAAAAACGAACTTTAGCAAAAAAAAATCAAAGGTTGACAGATTTAAACAAGTGTTTTTTAAAAAACACATACAAATATCAGATTTTACAAAACCCCAAATAAATCACCATTTAATATTTGATTTTCCAGCTATATTTTTAAAAGCCATTCATATTCAGCAACATACCCGATGTTATGAGTTGCCCTGGCTGGCTACAGCATGAGTAACCATTCAACTTATAGTAATTTAGATGAATCTGAATTAAATTAAATGCACTAAAGACACTTTCGCAACCAGCTTCAAAGTTTTCAGACTTGGAAATCATTTCAGTATTGCTGTAACTCCACAAACACACAGGGAGAAAATACTAAAGAACACTTACTTTCATCCTGAGGAGTAATTAGTTTTTTCAAAGATAACATTTCTTCATGAAGACCGTTTAGGATAAATCCAAGGTACTCCTCGGCATCCTCTTGTCGGCCCTGGCAAGAAATGTAACCCATCAACTAACAGTACAGACTTAAATTAAGAAAAGTAGACAGATAAATTAAGTGAAAACTGTTCATAAAGGTAAGATAAGTAAAATAGGTAAAATTCAAATAAAAAAGGACTTAGGTACAGAAGAGAAAGGGAAATAAAAGAAAACTAATTTGGTTCCACAAAAACGCTTTTTGTATTTGTTTTAGTGAGGGTAGGGTACTGTTACAGTAAGTTAGTGGATATCTGAGCAACAACAAAAAAATACCAAAATTATATTTGTACAACGCCTTTCACGTCACTGGGACGTCCAAGGAGCAGGTTTATTACTACACGAACAGGGACTGTACTGAAACTGTTAGTCCACAGGGCTTTGTGTCTCCAAAACCGTAACAAAAGAGTCAAGTGTGATCATTTTTAGAACCAGCAAATACATAGAACTAGAAAATTACACTCACAAGCACAATTAATACGCTAACTTACCTTTTCAGATAGACTCGACTTGTTAACCGTCAGCAGTCTATAAATGTAGCTAGGTTCGAAGGGAATCCCAGTGCGAATATCTTTAACAATTTTATCGCCAATGCCTTACAAAAAATAGGAATGATTAGAAGTCTTAATGTACAACGTAGGAAAATTAAAACAAATTTCCTTCAAGGCTGTATACTGCAACCTAAATTGCAGGTTCAAAAATACTAAAGAACTTCTGCATTCCAATCTGACGCCATTTACAAACAAGGAACATAGTTCTAATTTAGGAACCCAAATAGTAACTAAATAGTCCCAACTTAACTTACTCAACTACATTTTATCGTACAACTCAGAAATTGAGCTTTCATTAGCTCACTTTCAATCCAGACTTATCTTAGAAAACATATACCTGGTTTTGCCTTGGAAGGTACGGGCATTGTATTGAATTCATTCATCAGTCGAACACTGTAAAAGGCAACACATTTTCAGGTTTAATTTTAAAAAACAGTTGACGACGGTTAAATACACACAAATCAATTTCACCCCAATAAGAAGTAAGCTTGGGTAAAGGTTACTTATTGTTTTGTACTGTATGTGTGACAATTTATTTATTCAAGAATCACGCCCACTTTTTTCTTCCATTTCTCCTCGTGGCGATGACCAAGCTAGAGTGAAGTTTTACATAGTTACAAAGCCTCACACGTTTCATTATACATTACAACAGAGATCACCGCCTAATGGTACCCTGTCCAAAACATTTAGCTGGATATGAGGAGGTTTCACATCAGTAGGTTTCACACTGAGCTCTCAGAGAACTCATTTCACCGTGTTTATATATAATGTTTACAAACGCAACGCTAACTGCCAAAATATTTTGCTCCGCACAATTTTTTCAATTGAATATAAACGTGTGGGATACATACAAGCTGTCAATCATTGGCGTAGAGCTGCGGGGTCTCTGCGTCTCATTAAATATCGGAATGGCCTTCATCAGGTGAAACATGGGTGGGCAAGCAACCAAAGCTTGCAGAGTCTGTCCCACCAGTTAAGGAAAAAGTTGACTGATCACAATGTCAGATATATAGGTAATATTTTCTAAAGGAAGGGTCAAAATACATACTGCATTTATGCCACACTTTTAAACACACACAAACTTATTCCCCCTTTTAATGGCATAATTGTTACACAATGGCCTTTCAAGTTATTTTCAGGGCTATTTAAAAGGATACAGCATTTATGTAGCACCAGTTGCCTTTGTTGATCAGACCTCGCGGTTGCAGAGACACTGGTTTATGTACCAGTTTCACAATCTCCAAAAGTTCTGCAGATTTGAAAAAAGAATGGTAAGATTCTGTGCTCGGACTTGTACTGGAATGTCCCTTACTAATGTGGTCCTTAAATCGAATGTTTTGCATCTTATATCCACGTAGCTCCTTAAAAAAAAAACTAGAGGTTTGATTTGATAAACTTTTGATTTTTGAATAAACTTTTGAATAAACTTCAGGTTTGATTAGGAAATGGCTAAACGAAATTGCGATTTCACACTCCCCTATAATCGACATGTGCCCGCTCCATAGATTTTGTTTCTCGAGATCATTAACTGGTCCAGGGGATGGGAAAGATGCCAACTTCCAGCCCTGACATTGTATTTCAGTAACTCACCACAATGGGAGCAAAAGCAGTACAGAATGCCTTTCACATTCTCATTTTCTTTCTCCACTGCATTCTCTAAAGGGGTGGGGAAACTAAAAGAAAAGCAACAAAGTCCATGACAAGCGGACATAAGTATAAGATAGCCACCAGCAGATAGATCTCAAAGGGTTTAGGCGGAACTCCATTACATTACACAGAGGGTGGTGAGAATGTGGAGCAAACCGCCAGAAGCTGTGACTGAAGTATAAGAGCATCAATATATTTAAGAGGAAACTCAAAAGTATTCCGAAGGGATAAGAATAGGGAAATAGGATACGTGGAGGAACAGCATATCCTGTTTCAGCGCTGTAGTCTTTGTAATTCTATGTAAAATACATCAATGTGGCCAAACATTGCAGATGAAAAAAGGCACTCCCACTCCAAAAACATTGGTTCAGTATATTGAGGGACCACACCTTTTAAGCAGGGTTGGATAAAGTCACTGATAAAAAAAAAATCTTTCAAGCACAGAATATTTAGTTGCAGCATCTGAAGCACTGATATTTACCAACAAATCTAACTTACAAACACAGCCTACAAACAATTGGGAAGGAAATTACTTTTTCAATTGTCACAAAGACGGTGAAACCAACTTCTATGCATTTAGATTCACACGAGTCTTCCTCCTGACAGCCTCCAATTCGTTCAAGACTTAGCCAGGCAACACATTGCTAGGCAACTTAACTGATTTCTTGGTCTCCCAAGGCCATTTTATAGCGAGGTAAGCAGTTATCACAATAACATAGTAACATCATCTCCACAGTTCATTTCGATAAAACGATTTTGCAGTGAAGAATTCAAGGCGACATTTAATTTACTACAAACATAGTAGCCGCTGATGCTTCAGATTTGCCTCAAGTCCATGACATACAATATACTACAATGCATTGCTAAACCCAGCAATTGAACATTGGAGATTCTACTTAATACAAAAACCTGTATTTATATAGTGTCCTTCACACAAGATAGTGTCTCAAGAGTACCGATCTCGATAGGATTCAAATGAAAATAACATTTTACAACAGAAATATACAGCGTCTCTGGTGGTTGAGTGGGTAAAGCTCCTGCTGGTGGCGGTATACAGACCAATATATGCGGTACGTTTCCCAGTCTGTGCTGAGTTAGTTCATCTCAGCCAGTATTTGGTGCCTAAAATTGGCTTCAGAACACCTTGCAAAGTGGAGGGAAAAAAAGGTTCTGCTCCTGAAAGCTATCCAATGACCCCTGGTGGAAACTGTGCACGTGTACGAACACTGAGCGAGAAATGGATTATGCTGATCTGTGATCGCTTTCTCACAGTTGAACAATCTCCTAACACTCACAGAGAGAGCACATACATGAATAGCCACTTGGAGGAGGTAGCGAAGGAACATACTGGAGCATTGAGGACACGAAAACACGGGGGAGGGGGAGGTTCAAGAAACAAACAAACTACACATTTATCTATTTAAAGCACTGCTGGAAATGGTACCATTTCAGACTAAGAATGGATTAAGGATGGAATAAAAGTCTGTTCCCCATTAAGATACAAGAGGTTTAAATGAAGAGTTTGCCGTGGTTCATAATGCAAGAACAACCTTAGTTGCACAGAATTTGGCAGTCTCACTTAAGAGATCAACATGGATGGATAGGGTGGGAAGCGGAGGCTGCTTTCTTCTCCAGCACTGGTGGCTCACATCCATAAAACAAATATTCGGGTTCCTTTTTTTTTTGAAACCTAAACATCTCTGAGGTTTCGATCAGCAGACATTTAACACAACACAGTGGAGCGGAACAACAATAACTTGCATTTATAAAGCACCCTTCAAGCGGGGTAGCATCCCAGAGCGGGACAGCGGTTGTAAGAGAGAAATTGGAGCAGTAAGATCATAGGTGACAAAGGAGGATTAATGAACACCATCGCGCACTAACTGGAGGAAGAAAACGGTACCTCAAATAAAAAAACGTTTAAAAATCAGTGCCGACAAGACAGGCTATAGGGAGTAATCATGAATGTCTAGCATCACCTTGTGGCGATAGTCATTTATTGCAATTCAATCCTTTAATTAAAAAGCATTTGAATTTTACAATATAAACGCAATTGCTATAGTGCAATAGGAGCAGTTAAATCCACTGCCGGCTACCCTTTGAAAACACCACAGGCTAGTGTCTCAAGTCCTCTATTCCAACTCAAAATTATATCTTTATAACAGAACTGAATGGTCCAGATCTTCATGAACAGGGGCAAGAAATGATCCCACAACTTAAATACTTGACTAATTCAGATGGATAAGAGACAGACACTTCTCCCATCGGCTTCGATGGTTTCCTTTGACAGTACTTGTTAAGTACTTGTTAAGAATGCACAGAGAATGGAGATGTTTTTCAAAAAAACGTATTTGCACAACAATGACATTTCACTTTGAATGACAACAATTAAATGCATCGAACATAACTATCAAACATAAAATCTCCCTCTAGGAGACTAGAGATGGTTGAATTCTTAACTACCATGCAATTCATAGTTATTATTACCTGCAATCTTTGGAGCTGCAGCATCCTCAGACACTGGGACAGGTATATCCATTCTGGCTTCAGGCTGTTTCTCAGGGGCCTGAACAGGAACACTGGTAGGTACACACTTCACTTCAACATAGGCCACAGGTCCTGTTGAAGAGGGCTTTGAATTGTGGAAGAGACTAGCCCATGATTTGGCAGGCAAAGGAGCAGAAGCAGCAGAGGGAGCCAAGGCAGTCTGCTCTGGCTCAGTTGAACATACATCCTCAGGCTTGTCCTGCTCAGATTCTGTACTGTCATCAGTATGCAATCCTTCCCCATCAGCAGCACTAGGAAGTGTCACAGCATTGCTATCACCAGAGGATTCCAGTGTTTGTCCATTGTCGATTTTACCATCAACGGTAATATCTGTGCCTGCACATGACTGTGCAACAGCTGTCCTTACTGGGCTACTCTTTCCAGTCTCCGAGAGCAGAACAGGCTGTTCAATGGAGTTAACCTCAGCGTTAGCCTCATTATTGTTAATCTCAGTGTTGGCATCAAGCTCAAGTCCAGGCTGCTCAGCAGTCCTGGCTTCATCTACTGCACTGGAGACAGTGTCATTACATAAGGCTCCACTAATGAAGTCCGCATTATTCTCAGGGCTTTCACAAGTCCTCTGAATAGCCTTTGAAGAAACAGCTCCTGGAGATTCAGAAATCTCCTTCTCACTGATTAATTCAACCTCCTCTGGGCTGATAGTGTTCAGCCCTGAATTCAGTACATGTCCATTAACAAGGCCCAAAGTCTCAGAAGGGCCACCGGCATCACTCGCACCTTCTTGATAGTTGTAATAACCAGGGGGTCTTTTCTTCTTGTTCCTGCGTTCCCTTTGGCCTTGCCCACGGTAGACCAGATCATCATTCCCCTGGCAATTGCCACTATCCAGAGAAAGATTACCCTCTCCAAACTGGCAGTCAATGGAGCTGTAGGCAGTTTCTTCAGGCAAGCTGTCTAAGGATTTCTGTGCCGGTTGATATCCCAGTATAAATTCTGGTGCCTGCGGATTCAGCGTACTGGAGACTTTGTAAACGTTGTCCCGCAATTCAGCTTGCTCCGACTCGTTCTCTTCAGTGTCAGAATCATTCCGGTCTCCTGTTTAAACAAAACGTTAGCCTTTAAAGTGCCTTCTCTAGATTTAAATTTTTTTAAAAAACTGGAACAAAAGATTTTTAATTACCTTACCCCTGCACCCTGAAAAAAGTCACATCAATATGAAGTAATAGAACCAAATGCAAGTTTGCATTGTACATTAAGGATACGAGTGATTGTAAAAGGTTTCATGACCAGATGCGGTGAAAAATTGGGGCATATCCATTTTGGACCCAGAAGTATTGGTGAAATTCAGCCAAAAGCACTGAGTGCAAAAAAAAGTTACACAATCACAAAACAGATGAATTCTAATTAGTTTGTCAAGAAGTCTGCTCGGATCAAGATTTGCAGAAACCATCTTGGTCAAGTTAAATAATCTATTCACCAAATCAATGAAATGTGGTAATTTAGTCTGCACGTTAAAAAAGCTAAACATTTATTTCCATGTCATTCAATGGGAGTGAATAGAATGCAGTTAATGAAGGAAAGTGAAAACAGTACTAAGAACAGAGAAGGACATATGATCAATGATCTTCCTTTAACTTACAGCAAATGAGAAAATACTACAAAGAATATTTAGCAATTCTATCACAGTGCTCCCGCATAAGCAAATTGTGCTTTAACTGGTTCCATTCCTATTTAACTTTGTAAGGCAAAGAAATACACTGAAATAACACTTACCGCCGGTTGAATGGCTGACATGCAAGACTCTGTCATTATAAGGGGGGAGCTGTGCCAAAAACAAACAAAAAATCAGTACCAAAACAATAAACACAATTATGAATAAATCTATTAATGTGAAGACCAACAAACAATGTAGAAATACTTTTAATACTTTTGAGCAAGCAAAAATAGTAAAAAAAGCAGATTAAAAATTAGCAATAAAGTAACCATTTTAAAAAGATGCTGGCATGAGAAATAAATCCTTTGCTTTGACTTAATTGGTCCAATTAGTTCAGATGCACTACAGTGATGTTAGAACGTCAGCCATCAATAGCATGCTGAATTAATTTGGGACTTGGATGAGAAAAATAAGAGGAAGCAGATTAATCTGCATTCTTTACAAGGGTCCAAACATTCAGGCCTCAAGGAAAATGTGTAGGTCCATCCAATAGTGTGGAAACATTGGATAGTCAGTTACCTCGGACTCTAAAGTCATAATTGATGGCACCATAAGGATTAAAAACTTCAAATACATTAAAATGAAGTATTTAAAGGGCTACTCAATATATTTATAACGCACATGCGCCAGTTCTACCGAACTTTGGCACTTTCCCCGAGCGGAATCGCTAATTACTAACTGCACTCAGACTGGCTAACGCTTTTTACACTCACGAACTTCAGAAAACACATTTTAAACAACAGACAGGTTAGAAAAACAAAGGGGTGACCATACCACACTTACTTCCAAATAAGACAGCTGCTAATCCACATAGTTTTATCTATGGTACCCAGTGATATGTTTGTAAAGGAAACTGCTGTGTTGTACTCAAAAACGTTTTGTAAGGTCTAAGTATGCAACATTATATTCCCATTGTCAAACTGGTGCTAATGCAAGTCAGTGTCACAGAAAGCAAAAGGTAAGTCTTGTTTTGATACAGAGCACACATCTAAAAAACTTTATCAAACATGGTGCAGCAAGTCTTCTGTCTATTTTCAGCAATTGAAAAGAGGTCCCTGTCCCATCACCTCTTCTCTATCACAATAATATGCCTATAGAGTCAGAGGCTGTGGAGCAGCACGTCATGCGGACATTAAGTACACATGTGCGGCTCTGGGTCTGCCTTCACAAATCCATACTAATGCAAACAGACAGTAAAGGCAGTATTCAGGCTGAAAGTAGGTTTATATTACTAACCACAGCCTCTTGAGAAAGCACTGAATGATGCATCAGGCACTACAAGCACTGGGCTTTGCAATGAAACAGAACTCAGAACTTGCTACCCAAGCTTGCTTGTGCATACATAGGCAAATCATGTGATGAGTACATTACAACCCAAATCATGTGATGAGTACATTACAACCCACCCCACACTCAGTTTGGGCAGCAGTTTGTTATACAATATAAATCCCAGCAGCCAAAATGCCCACCTGAAAATGAATGCCAAGTGGTAAATGAACCAAAACAGGTTACATTCATCAAAAAAAAACACACACTTACCTCAACAGAGCTGCGCGATGTTACAAAGAATTGATTGAATTCATCAGGGCTGAACTCCCCAAAGATACACTGAAAGAAAAATAAATAATTTAACTTAGATTGATCAATTGTGAGCGTACTGTATCCATTTAGGGTGTGATTTATCCGTTCAATTTTTAAACCATTCATTCAGAGTCCCAACCATGTCGCCCAGGATTCTGTGCATGTATTCTCTGGATGATTAAATAACTTCAAAGTGTACAATGCAATAAGTTTGATCAAATTGAGGAAATTATTGTATTTCTCTGCAGCATCTGGACAATGGACTACAATTTTTCACTTCCTTCAAATGAATACTCAAATTCTTTATGTGTGATTGCAATCACAGAAGATTGTGTTTCAATAGTAAAACATTGAAATACTGACAAATAATATTATCCATATCAACTTTGTGTGTGTCTAACCTAATTGGGTTATGTAAAACCTCAATAGCCAGAATCAACAACAACAAAATTACATTTATAGAGCGCCGAGCCGGCGGGGGGGGGGGGGGGGGTGGAAGGTGACCAAAGGCGCGGTCAAAAAGAAAGGTCTTCAATAGAGACCTGAAAATAGGAAGGGAGGGAGCGAGGCGAAGGGAGTGAGGAAGGCAGTTCCAGAGCCTCGGGGCATAGTGGCTGAAGGTATGGCACCTCACAATGCAGAGCACCAATGACAATATATATATAAAAATATAAAATAAGATGCTATATCAAATGCAAGTATTTTTATTGAGGTACTACCTGAATAGAATTTACCCAGAATAATGATTGACCAAGCTGAGATAACTAAATTAAAAATGCTGTATTGCATGAAAGTTTTTTTTTAAAAAATCCATGTAACTTGTAAAAAATGTATTGATCACTGGTAAAACATTAAGTCTAATCATATACTTCAGATATCCTTTTTATTATTCAACATAAACCTGTTATACACACTGGATTGACGGACTAAACAAACAGGCGTTTATGACCAGACACATATGGCGGTGGCAAAACAGATGGTGCCTCAAAACACAACAGCCTGAAGAAAAAGTTTAACTCAACCCTCGCTGGTCTTCAGGAACTCATAATTGGCAATTGCAAATAACATCACATTAAACTAAACTGAGGCAGAGTATTACAACAACTTTTTTCAAGTATAAAAGTGAAAAGAGTAGTCATCAAAGGCTGTGGGCAAGTGTACTAGATGGTGTAGCAATGAGCTATACAGGTCAATAAGCCCCTTTTTAATTGTTGGCCTATGTTGAATTGACCTGTCTTAGTCAGCACACAACTTAGATGAAGTGCTGGAGACTGGTTGTTCCTACTAAACAGTACCGCACTTTCAGATGAGTGTCAAAAAGAAGAATTTGCAGAAAAATAAGAAAAAAACATTTCAGAGGCAAGAGAATCACATTTTCAGGTGGCATTAATCCAAGCTACTTGCTATGGCTTCACTGGTAACCAAATTCGAATAGCAATCTGAATTACCCTTGGTATCCACTAGGCTAAAGGCAAGATTACAAATAACGGACCGGCTAAAATTATGGATCAGCAACAACAGAGGATGAAACAACTGAACAGATAAATTGGTTTTATTTTCCCTCTTGAATCAAGCTAAACAGCTCTTGTGGTCATCTTGAATAGTATGACTGCCATCTTGAGTTATGGCAGCTATTACATTGAATTTCCTAACATAGACGATGTGTTTGCCTTGGCCATGGCCATTTTAAAAGTGTTATCTCAGGAGTTTCAAATTCCTACTAATTTCAAAGCCCAGGAGTCAGCCTGGTTCAGTCGATAGCACTCTCGGCTCAAAGTCCTCAAGTCTAAGGTCAGGACTTTCAGTTCATAGGCTAGAGGAGCACTGCAATGTCCATCGAATAAGATGTTAAACCGAGGTCCCATTGGCCTGACATTTATGGTCCCATGGCACTGTTCAAAAACAGTTTTTCTCAGTGAAACTCCCAGTCAACAATCTGCTAGATAAAAATCTTGGTATTCACAGTGCCTTTATCTACAAGTCACATCACTTCACAGAAAAGTCTGAAACGCTCTCAGTTGCACAGCAAAGTTTAAGGAGTTTTTTTTAAAAAAAAAGTGGAATTGTTCACCCAAGAGGTAGTGGAAAGCTGGAACGCTCTCGCTCAAAAGGTTGTGGATGCTGCATCCATTTGCATTTTTACGACTGAGGTGCATAAATATTTGTTAAGTCCGGATACTAAGGGATACGGGGCAAGAGCAGATAATTGGAGTTGACATACAGATCAGCCAGATCTGTCCGGTGCCCTCGCCACCTGATCAGATCAGGTGGCTAGGGCACCGGACAGATTTTTTTTAAAAAAAATCAGAGGTTATAGTTTCAAGTAAAATGGTGATTGACATGTGGAACTCTCAGTACAGGTAATGGAACAAGGAATGTTAAAGAGCTTCCAAACGTAATAAGTCACTTAAAATGGAAACGATTCAAGGTTATTAAAATATGAGAGCTGGGCAGAAAGTTGGATAAAGTAGGCTAGATAAACCAACAGTGTATTGCTGCCTGAAAATTACTAATCACTGGGATTCTAACCACAGCGAGTACACTCTTAACTGTAATACATCTTAACTTGCAGAATAAGGGTTTCATTTGGCCTATTTTCCCCAGCTTACACCGTCTTTTAGATGCCTGGTACACAGATGGTTGCAGATCACAGCTGAAACCACCGCAAGATGCAGTAGTGAAGCACACCAGCATATGTGCCACGTCATTCAGTTTACAGCAATGTTGTCAGCAATAGGGCTAAACTTGACATGCTCAACAAACCCCAGGGATGGAATTTGATATCCTATGGCTTAAATAGCTGAATGCTACGACTCCCAACTAGAATATTAGGGAAGCACGCACACTCCATTAACTTGTCTGCATTCTTCCCAGTTCATATGCCATATAGACAAAACAGGACAATGTTTACTCCACAAACTATTCTAATGTATTGTAAGACTGGAAACGTGGTTAAGAGAGAATAAAGTTGAGGGATACGGTGGGAAAGCTGGGATATGATCTAGGATAGGTGCTTGTGTGCAACATAAATACCAACCGAACTGGATGGGCCAAATGACCTGTTTCTGAGCTGTACCTTCCTATGAATCAAATCAAAGAACTATAAAGATGTCCTGATGTAAAAACAAAACATTTATCCCCTGCAGATATACATGCTAATTTGCAGCTACCTTCTGTAAAAGTAATCTTGAACGACCAAACCTAACTATACAGTGCCTTTATTAGCCAACTGTACTAGTTTAATCCATGCAATCACATGATTAGCAATTGCTTCCATGCCCTAATGCACGTGAATCTGTAAACTATATCAAACATTTACTGGTGCCCAAGGGGAGGTAAAGAAAATAATCTATACTCAAGAGTCATCAACATTAGTACATCAATCTCCAACTTAGTACAGTATGTTGCAACTGCACAGGAAATCTAGTTGCCAGCAACAATTAGATTTCACAATTGAACTACCAAGATTTATATAAATTCTCTACCCATGACCCATTTCATTTTGCTTTTATTAGCCTTTATGCGCTCATGCTCAAATATTTCTTCCTGGTTCTACAGTTCTGAGCAAATATATAGCTACCTAAGGGGCTTTTCACCAAATTGTGAATATACTTACAGGGATGAGCGTAATTAGAATTAGAGCAAAGTCTCAGACTTCAGAGTAATAAATAGCAAAACAAAATACAAGCAGGCAGAATACAGTCATCATATCTAGGCAATCTTATACAAGCTAAGCTGTAGCCAATACTGTTGGTGTCATGCATTCATTCATAGATAATTTGGAAATACCCTTCTCTTCCTACGACTTGCAATTTCAGTAGTTCAATTGTGCCAGTAAACTTGGAGAACATCCAATTGCTCTTTGAGTAACTGCTATTTGAGTAGTGTAACGCTCCTGCAGAAAGGCCATCACCTAAAAAGGAACTTTCCTGGCCCGAAAGCACATAATACTCTACACCTTCTAGCACAGGAGTTCCTAGAAGGAATTTCTCTCTACCGTCTTCTTCCCTGGCTCTTACTGGTCCTTGTAATCTCAACGGAATATCTCAAACCAGAAGATGCCATTTCAAAAACAGCCCTCCAATATTTTATTCAAATGGTTGTTTGCACAAGTCCAACCAACGAATGGCAACTGGTTGTTTGACTGATTGACGAAGGTGCCATTACACAAAATCTGACCTCCCCCACCGCCCCCCCCCCACCCAATTAACATTTATACAGCTTCAAAAGCAATTGCTAGACATAGAAATTGTGACAATCCACATTTACCCCCTCTGCTGGAGAACTTGAGGGCTGCATCTAAAAAAAGGAGTGGTTAAATCATCATCTCGTCTGTCATAGAGAGAACTTTTTTTTAACTACAATTTCATCCTTCTGCACACACTGTTAATGTGGTCTTATCAAGTTTTCACTACAGAATATATCAGCGATTCATACAGCACAGAAGGAGGCCATTCGGCCCATCGTGCCGGCTCTTTGAAAGAGCTATTCAAATGAATCCCACTCCCCCGCTCACTCCCCATAGCCTTGTAAACTTGTCCTCGTTTCGCCAAATTTTCTATGAATGCAAAATGTTATAATTTTGTAATCTAGTGCGTTTCACCTCACTGGGAAAGGTCAAGATTGAGGATGTAATGAATGTACTTCTTTCTCTCAATCAGAACAAAGTTACTCCCTATGTCCCTACGATGGCAAACTTCTGGAAGCAACCATTACACTCGGAGCATAAATAAAATCCACATGCAGTAAAATGACACAACATGTCTAAATGTGGAATAAACCTTCACGGAAGTATCGCAGCAAACATGTGCAAAGAGCAGCACTGGCATAGCTTATCATCACATTTGCATTCACAAGTTCATACTTGTCTAAAGTTGCTAGGTTTTCAAGAACTGGAAGCATTACTCTACGTGCGCATTCACAGCAGCGTTCCGAGTTAGAGGAACCCAAAGTGCCCGCTCAACCGATCACACACACATTCAACTTATTGGCAAGTATCTATTGGCTGTGCAAAGGCATGGGGCGAT